AATGCAGCAGCCGTAAGCAGCTTCGTGGAAGTTATTTCGAACTTAAAGTCTGAAATAACAGAAATGAAAGACGTGATAAGGGGTTGTCATGATGTTATTCGTGAACAACAACAACTACTAACATAGCAAAACGGATGCATCAAAACGATCCTTGGCATGGTTTCTAGTCTATCAGTTCACCCAACTCTGAATTTGCCACAGCATTTGTCACTCAATGAGTCTGGCCCTCAAGGTATTGTCCTCGTGGGTGATCAACAACGGCCATCAGTTATCCCCAGTGGCACTGTCACACCTATGCCACCGCTCGTGCCAGAATCGACGGAGACGGTGAGCATCGCGCCTGCTGATGGTTCACAAAGAACTCGTCCACGCCGTGGTACGCCGACCATCGCAGCTACTAATGAGAAATGCCGTCGTTTGATTTCTGATGGGTCTACGCCTGCTACTGTCTCTTTACCTATTGACGTCACTGCAACGCTGTAATGCGTTAGTACGCAGCTTGAACCGGTAGCCACTCCACTGCGGGCCTCAAGCCCTTCGGGACTCCGTGCGGTTGCCCCTCGTGTCGCCAGCCTGTATATCTTTAACCTCAATGTGGATACCACTGCTGAGGACGTCGTGCTTCATGTGCGCATCCCTGTGTCTGTGTGTGAGCAGCTAGTCGTCACTACTACTCGTCGTTTCGTCTGGATGTTCCTGCAGACAGACTGAGGTCTGCCAGAAATATTAAAAATTGGCCTGAGGGAGTGTTAGTGCGTCCGTTTAATGTTGTGCAGCCAAAAAACTTATCAACGAAACGTGTCACAATACGTTTAAAGTAGGCACCAAATTTGTAACTATTCACCAAAATGTACGGTCTATGTGTGGCAAAACTTCACTGTTCAATTTATTATGTAGCGCTGAAAAACCAGACGTACTTGGTTTGAGTGAAACATGGTGCAAGAAAAGTGAGATTGAACGGGTGAGGTTGTGTCTGGCAGATTGTTACTGCCGCACGCAAATCGCTCAAGGCGGGGTGGCGCTGTTTGTACGTGACGGTATTACATATAAACGGCGAAATGACCTGCGGGACCACTCAGATCGGTATCACTTTGAATGTACAGCTATTGCGATTACCTATTGTAAATTGATTATAATTTCGCTATACAGGACTGAAAAGGAACAATGTTGTCCTTTTCAATTTATTTAAAAAAAATGGAATTATTATTGAATAAGCTCATTAACGAAAAGAAAAGGTTTCTTCTAGTTGGTGATCAAAATGTGGATTATTTATCTGACAATAATTTGAGACGGTGGGTCGACGACGTACTAAGTAGTTATGGGTGCTTTAATATAGTTTCCTTTCCCACTCGCTTGACTGCTGCCTGCGCGTCGTCCATCGATTGCGGTGTAACAAACCACGCTCGTGAATACCTTACCGTATTAACGGTGGATACTGCTATTAGCGACCACAAGGCACAGCGATATGAATTTGCAATTGAACACAGAGGAAAGGAAAACAAAACAAATCAGCAGCTGATCGAATGTAGTTGTTTTACAAACGAATCTATCTATTTATTTTATTGTGACATTTGTAACGTAAGTCAATGTTTGTAACTATGATTTTAATTTTAATTATGACAATACTATAGATATTAACAGAAATTTTATAAATTATTTAATATTTTGACATATTACATTGATTTACGTTTTAAGGTTAAAACATTTAAATTTCGGAATAATGTGACAACTACGCCATGGGTAAATGACGAGTTATTGGAATATACACGAAAACAGTGATTTACATGATATCAGGCGGTCTACTCTCATTCTCCGTCCGACATCCGTCCGAAAAAATAGTCAGCATATACAGTAAATAGCCAGGCGTCAGTATCCAAACAACCCAGTAATATCAGAGTGTATAATGACATATTATAATCTTATTAAATCTGAGACGTTACGTGCCCTGCAAACGTACATTGAAAAGTGGTTGGTAGAAAGCAAAAATCTATCCAAGACTGGACGGTTCCAGACACATTTATCACACTTTCTAAGTGTAGCCTCCAAATATATAATTGAAAGTGATCTGTCTATGTGTAGGCAATACGCCTGCAAACATCTGCACAATACAGATGTGCCAACTTTCTCTACACCGATCATCACACGGGGCCTTATAGATAAAGTGGTACAGTCGATGTTAAACACCCGTTCAACTGTTGACAAATATGACATATCACTAAATATATTGTTATACATATGGCCATTTATTATCAGACATTTCAGTAGTCTTATTTAATATTATCTTTGACACCGGTGTGTACCCGGATGTGCTTAATAGTACCAGGGTGTGTCTTGTCTTCAAGGGGAAAGGTGACAAGTGTGAACAATTACAGACCAATAACGATTGTTCCTACTATATCTAAAATTCTATCTTCTATCTTCCCACATAATGGGCCACCTTAAGGACAATGAATTGCTGACGGATACGCAATTTGCATATCGGCAGAAGATGTCTAAAATTACCGCGGCACATAAAATATTTGACTACATAGTTTCCGGTCTGGATAAGACGTATAAAATGGCAGGCATATTTTGTGACTTGTCCAAGGCCTTTGATGTGATTAATCATGAACTGTTGGATAAGTTATATCATTATGGAATACAGCGTAAGAGCCACAAACTTCTCACCTCGTTCTTCTCGGATCGGAAGCAAATGGTAATTTAATTATCTTCGAGCGGTAAAAGACGAGTCCGTTGCTGCTAGTGTGAACTTAGGAATTCCCCATGGGTCTGCCTTAGGAAACACGCTACTTCTATTATATACAGGCTGTATATTTGAAAGTGAGACATTCATACATGTCATAGTAAATCATGTTACAACTTAACATAACTAGAATAAAATTTGGACATGGGATAGAACAAAAAATAAATCAACAAATGTGTTTCGATGTGTACATAGGAATAAACCGATTCCCTTTACGCTTCATTTCGAGTGCAATGGGAATACTACCAAGCGAGCGCCGAGTGAAACAGCAACAATAACAATGATTTCACATCTCCCTTTCTACTTAGCACCGACAAAGCACCTCATTTCTCTAGAAAATAAAAACCACTAAGGTACTCACCTACGCATTATTCATTTTATGATGAAAAAAGCTGTTATCGAATTGAGTACGTTTTAGTTTATGCTAATTATTTTTTACTTCTGAACTATCGTCGAAATATGTGTATATGATATATTTCGACGTATATAAAATAGGAATAAAGGAAATATATGTATATGTATATAGTTTATGATTTAGTAACTAGTTATGATTTATAAGAATTGAGGTTTTTAGTGTAGTTAAAAAAGTGAAATCAAATTATTTACAATGATTGATTTTTTAGTTATTTACAGTTTATTTACACTTACTGCTGGTGTTCAAAATATCCACCGTTTTCCACAATGCATAGTCTAGCACATCGTAGTAAATTTTGATTTAAATTATTCAACACAAACACATTTTGTCTCACAGTATAAAATGCTGAGATAATCCTCTCATGCAACACTTCGGCACTGTTCACCTCCTCCGCGTAAACTCCGATTTGGGAACATTTCAGTAGCTCCCCTCGCACTATCACCAGTTAGTTATTGCGTAAAGTAGCACCATTTCAGTCAATTCGACGTTAGAATAAATATCCATTTTGCGCGGGCGAGAGGCGCGTTCGCCGGGGTGCAGCCACCGGGCGAACGGAAGTACAAATAATGTACGGTCTTCGCTAGGCCAAGGTCGCGCGTGCACTGTCTCTCCAATTTTCAGATGCGCCCGCGTCCCCATTCCCGCTCGACGTTGCGTTGGAGCAATAATAGTAATGTGCATAGATTTCAATAACTAATGTTATTCACAAGTAGTAGTCGATAAAAAAAAAATTAAAAAATATTTTTTTTTTGTAAAGTTTAAGTAGACTGAGTGGTGCAGTCTTTGCGTTGCGTAAACTGAAATTACTCATTTCTGATTCTGCATTAAGACAGGTCTGTTTTGCACATTTCCACTCGCTGATGTCGTACGGTTCACTCATATGGAGTAACTTCACCGATGCCAATAGAGTCATGCTATTGCAAAAACGTGCCGTACGTGTATTGGTTAGGGTAAAACACAGACATTCCTGTAGAAATCTCTTTGTAGCGCAACGCATAATGACGCACTACTCACTCTACATATACGAAATTATAATGTACGTTAGAAATAATCTTTCTTCATTTGGTACTTTAATTGTTTCTGGCATCCCACTTCGCTGTACCGGTAATTTGAGAACTGTCCCCCGAAGCACTTGCAGAGAAAAACCCGCGTGTCATCGGACCTACTTACTATGAGCGTTTACTCGCTACTCTCAGACTTGAACCGTCTGACGAAACATTTAGGTTTTAGGCGCCGGCTGAAAGACCTTTTCTTGAAAAATCCTTTATACTCTGTAAATGAATGAATTATGGACTTAAATTGTAACGAATTGAGTATTTTCTGTTATTTTCTTGTATATTTCTTGTTATTTTGATATTCCAATTTTTATCGCATTGACATACTCTTGTATAATAATTGTTTTCAACTAATGACGATCCTTGGTGGAGAATGATATTTGATATGTAATTTATGACAACAATATTATATAATGTTGATTCCGAAATTAAAATTCTAATTATTGTGTATTTTTCTTATAATTTTCATTTTTGTCTGACGATCTCAATATAATTTCTTATACTTTGACATGTAGTGCAATTTATACTGTAATGTTATATTAGAGAAATAAATGATACTGAATCTGAATCATAATATGAATATTAATTTAGCATAGATAAAATGCATAAAATATGCCAAAAGTTCCAACTACGTATGAGAACCTGATCTTAATATAAAGCAATGACATATTTTTTTTAGACAATCACTGTAACATTACATATTACATATCAAAGGTGTTAGGAAAAGAATCGACAAGATATACGTTCTCTCTCTATTATGTAACTTGTTGTTTAAATGTTTTTGCGCTGTTTTTTGTGTTATAACTGTTCTAGTTATATTAGTCTATATATTTATAATGTGGCGTTACAATAAATGGTTTCTCGCAGTCTCGGGTTTTCTCGAGGAATACAGCATGGAGTCCTTCAAAAGGGGTTTGAGAAGGGTCCTAAAGAGTCGGCAACACGCTTGTGACGCCCCTGCTGTTGCAGGCGTTCATAGGCGACGGTAATCGCTTTCCATCAGGCGGGCCGTATGCTGGTTTGCTGCCTACATAATATAAAAAAATGTTGTTTTGTTCAATAATTGGCTATCAGCCCTCTGCCTCTTCAACTTCGACACCCGATTACCAATTATCGTAACTCTGGTTATTTTCAGGGTAATCCCGTTAACCTAAACTATTACTTAAATGTCAACGATGCTAATATTACTATTCCACTAGAATATGGCCTGCAGTGCTGCGGCAAGCGACGTACGGCACGATCAAGTTCGGCACTTACTATTCGATGAAAAAATGGATAGCCGCGCGACGCGCCGACGGCGGGGCCAAGGAGCACCTGGCGACCAACACGTTCTGCGCCGCCTTCGCGGGCGGCCTCTCCAGCGCCATTGCAAATCCCACCGATGTGCTTAAAGTGCGGATGCAGGTGAGGATTACTCACATATTTTATTAACAAAAATAAATCTGTTTGATAATTAGTCGCACGAAAATGCAAATGCTTAAGAGGGAGCAAAAGAAAAATTCCTAATCTTCGGTTTGTTTTTAGAGGGGTAAATCCACTTTAAAGTCAAAAATATAATATTGTACGAGTAACTACACGATATATTCAAGCACAGACGTTTATCAGAAACATAAAACAATAAAGTTTCTTCGATAGATAAAAATCACGAAAACACATCTAATTTTCACATTTTGTCGATTTATTCTCGAAATGCTACGGGTTGTTAGGACAAAAATTAGATAATTAATTATATTTATGCATGGTCGACTACTGTCGCTACGGATTTTTTTTTAATCCCTTTAGTTTTAAAGTTATTCCGCTAAAACGAATTTGGCACTTACGACATTTTTAATGCGCAAAAGACAACATCTCCTGACGCATGTCACGGGAACTTCAAGGATATATTTGTTTCACAAAAAATATAAAATATTATTTTCGTGTGCATAAGCGCACTTAGAACTTACGAATTTTGATTTCATCAGTACTAGGATTGAAAATTCACCGGTATAAAAGTGAAGGTCGTGCAGACGATTTTAGTAGTTATTATGTAATAACATTTAAATTAGTTTATTCCCGCTTACGCGGGCTACTCGATTGATATGACGATACCATTTACATGTTTTACATTACATATTATAAATATATAATATTTGCAAAATGACAGTGTGATTTTGATCTAATTGATTGTAAGGTACCTCTGCAAAACACACACAAAATCCAGAAAGGACTTAGTATAGACAGATAATAAATAGTTGATATCGTTGTTTTTTTTTATTACCAGAACTGATTTTGATATTGAACAAAATAATTACACATAATGGTAGATATTTTACATTAGAGCAAAAGAAATTTAAAGGAAATAAATACAATTTTAAATTTAAACAAATTTAACACATTGATAACACAATTATTGTATTGGTTTTTGTCTTTGACTCGACAAGAAGAAGATTAGAGCAATTTGTTTAGTTTCGTGTTTATTCTATTTATCAAACAAATACGAGTATAATAGGTATCGTACTTTATGAAATTTCATGACAGACACAAATTTTGTGTGGAACAGAAAAAAACTGTGGAGTCGTCAATAGGACCAATAAATTAACAACCGGTTCCAGTACAGTAAGTATTGTATTATGTTTATACAGGACGATAAAAACCACTGACCATTTTAAAGGAGCATACTGCGTAATGGAAATAAAAATTACAAGTGAAAAAATAGGGTGGTTTGCATCAATATTAGACATAACTGGTTGAAGACTGTACCACCTCAGTCAACCGTGACCATGGGACCTGTAAAAGGCACGAAACGTCAGTTTGTTTGAAAAAACAAATATACGCGATTTAAATCCGGAAAAATAGTTTCATTTCCTATGTGTAACAATCGCGAAAACCTAAGAACTCGATACTTTTGATCGGTTTGCACTGCGACGTACGGGTAGCGGGCGGCGAATGATAGGTGCGCGTAGCGGGGAGTGTGGGTGGAGCCAACGTCAAAACTTTTTTGGCATGAGGGCTCTTAATTTCGGGTCACAAACATCATCATTATAAATACGTACCAGAGATATGTACGTACGTTCATATCGTATTTCACACGCTATGAACTACCATTTATTAGACTCTGCGGGGTGGTTGATAATCATTAATCACGTATCTGCGTTTGCTTACATAAAATAAATGCCGATAATTACGTTTGACGTCATCGAGTAGACGCCGATATCAAAGGTCGCCGTTAGTCACAACAACTTCATTCACAAAATGATTCAATGAGACTTTATTTGTTATCAATAACGTTGAGTTTACTTTTCAGCTGGTGATCTGTTATTATCACTTACAGATTACATGTTTTTTCATATTAATTATGATTTTGTTTTTAAATTTGTTTTAATCAATTTTTTTGCATCTTCAAATACTACAGTAAAAAAAGATGTAACAAATGAACGTTTCAAATCATTGCATGTGATCTCCTCTAATTCGGCAATTAGACGTAAGGGTTATTTTCCGAAATACATGCTTTTATTATTGTTAAATCACTTTTTGAATGTCAAATTTTTGACACCCCACGACTCCATTTCGGAAAAAAGTGCTATCGTACATATAATAGGGAAGATTAGACTATCTTTGGTGCCAGTGACTTGTGAATTCTCATACATATAATTCTTTCAGGCAGGCCACGAAAAAGGCCGCATAGTGAGATGCTTCATCGACATTTACCATTTGGAAGGGGTGAAAGGTCTCTGGCGGGGCGTGACGCCGACGTCGCAGCGCGCCGCTGTCATAGCCGCGGTGGAACTACCGGTCTACGACGCGTGTAAGAAGAAACTCACGCTAACGTTGGGCGATACCCCTGCGAACCATTTCGCATCGAGTTTAGTCGCTAGTCTAGGCAGCGCCGTTGCTAGTACGCCCCTTGATGTCATACGAGTGAGTCTACATTTTACTTATGATATTTCATACCACATGGGCAAGTATACAAGTGATGTATAAGTGACTACAGATTTATTAGTTCTACAGAATGATATTTTCTCTGGTTTAATAAACATGAAGATCCATACAAAAATAAGCGGGGTTAGTGCTGTAGCCTTTGTATCATTACAGCAATTAAAAGAAAATTCAGTTATGGCAATTCTTCTATCGTTACATGATTTCCCATATTTCGCAATGGTAGACAATTTCTCTTCGTGCTATCACATATTTTAAGTAGCGCCATTATCGATAGCGAAGAGAAATGTCGTTCTATGCGTGCATATTTTTTCTATTTCCGAAGATGGAAGGTTTTTAATGACAGCAGTGGAAGCTTATATGTATATTTCGATGTCCACAGACGCGGTTAATGAATCAAAGGAAAATGAAGGATCACATCGCGAAGCCAAACGAGAAATTGTATAAGGGAACTGTGGATTGTTTCTTACAGGTAATTTTGTCAATTGTCAGGAATCAAAATTACAACACATGTGGTCAGTACCAGTGTAGTAAATCAACATTGAACTATGGATTTTGGAACGCGTAGGCGTAGGCTATAGTATTAATCAAAATCTACCCATTCATACGTCCCTCTGCTGGGCACGAGTCTCAGGTGAGGGTTTTGGCCATAGTCTGCCCCTCCACCCTTATTTTTACCGGGGGAAAATCTTTACAGATACCCCTGAGCCTAGGGAGACTCAGGGGTTATGTGGGGACTCTCCCTGACTGAGAGACTGGAGGGCCTACCCCACTAAAGCCCCCCGAGTTTACCTCCCGCCGATTGAGTCGGCGCCGTGGGGTCGGTGCACATTCACCACGACGCCGCCCGGCCGCCCTAGCTTGCGCCAGGGCTCCCGCGCCAACGGAGGGGCGAGTCGGTTGTCCTCCGACCCGCGCCGCAGACGAGTGAGGCCGTGCAATGCAGGCTCCGGAGTCCTTATCCCTGCCACTAGGGGATCAGGCGAGCAGCGAACTGCCTTCGCCTTCTCCCCGTACGTCCGCGCCGGAGCGGGTGCGCGTCCGCCGCGTCCTCTTGCACCCGCTCCGCAGCCTCCTTTTGCGACATAAACTCTCCGCAAAAGGAGGCCACCGCCTCCCAGGACTCCTCGCTACCGAGCATGGCGGCAACCACGCTCGGCAGTGAGAGGTCCTGCCCTACAGTCCCCGTCAGAGTGCGGCACTGCTCATCCCACCGGCTGCACACCTCTAGGGTGTGCTGCGCGGTGTCATCCGCAGCGCCGCACTCGTGTCACGGCACCTGTCCCCCTGGCCTAATGCGGGTTGGGGACTTCACACGTTTACCGAATGTTGTGAACCATCATCGACATGCAGGTTTCCTCACAATGTTTTCCTTCACCGAAAAGCTCATGATAAATTTCTAATTAATCGTAAAAAAAAATATTACTATGAAGTAACATATACACACATCAAAAGTGTCAAGGGATCAAGCACGTTGTTGCCTATTACTGAAAATGAGGTTTTTTATATTTTTTTTAAACTGATGGTTTTTGCATCGAGTTCTTAGGTTTTCGCGATTGTTACACATAGGAAATGAAACTATTTTTTCGGATTTGACTGACGGTTGACTGTCAACCGTGACCATGGGACCTGCAAAGGGCCCGAAACGTCGGTTTGTTTGAAAAAACAAATATACGCGATTTAAATCCGGAAAAATAGTTTCATTTCCTATGATGGTTTTTGGTCAAATTTATCATTTGAATTTGACCAACAAATCCTGACAAATAAAATAACTTAATTTTCAGTTGTTAGCAAAAACGTGCTTGATTACTAGACGCTTTTGACGTCTGTGTACCAATAATAAAGAAATATCGTTTTGTGAAACTCCAATAATATTGATAACACATTTAATCACGGAATATTGAAATTGTTACATAAATTTTATTGCTACATCTCAGTGTTTATGATAAAAAAAACTCGCACGGCGCGTGTGACGCGAGCGTGTCTCCGCCATCTTGCGGTACGAAGCGCGGGAGGGAGGAGGCGGTGGTGTACGCTAGCGCCGACAAGAGCCGAGCGCGGCAAAATTTTGTTCGCTTCTGATGTATTTTCGTTCGGAAACTTTTCTGGCTCCCATTCCCGATGTATAGTGTTTATTCATATAGTCAATCACTGTAAAACGAAATCAAGTTAAAACAGTGTTTTGAAGTTACCACAAAGCTAGTGACGAGTACAATCCTGTATATTAATGTTGGTGAGCCGTCCTTAGTGACTGTTGCCTTGGACGTCCTCAGACGGTGCGCAGCGAAGGCTTCCTGGCGCTGTACAAGGGCTTCGTGCCCACGTGGCTGCGCATGGGGCCCTGGAACATCATCTTCTTCATCACGTACGAGCAGCTCAAGCAGCTGTACTAGGGCCTGGCAGCGGACGAGCGATTCCTGCTTGAGGGAGAACGCTGGAAAGAAGTAAGCTCCTTGTGAAAGAGTACTGCCATCTATGTCTGCCGCCAAGCAGTAATGTCAGCATTATTGTGTTCCGGTTATGAAGGGTAAGGGTGCTGGTGAAATTACAGGCACATGGGACTTGTCAACTTATGTCTCCGGGTGACAGATGCAGTGCACCTCAGATTTTTGCGATTTAAAGCTCTGAGTGGCACTGCAACTATTTTGGACAGGCGTGTAGCTTAACAACAGGCGCACGACTTGTTCGTCCCGTCAATCGATATTTTTATAAAAAAAGTAATATAGACCTCCAATCCTCCTTCCTCGATCCTTTCTAAGCAGAAAGCTTCACCAATGGTTCTACCTTTTCCTTTAACGTACAGGTTTCATCACAATGTTTTCTCACTGGGCTACTACTGCTGGTATTGATCTATTTATTTTAATAATCACACCACACAAATTGTTTCAATGTGAATATTTCTTTCAGATCGTTCTTGGAGAATGACTTTGTGCTCACGCTGGCTTCAAGAGTGACTCGAGCTTCTAGTAAGTACTTCTTGAAACGAAACAAACCACGAACTTCTCCATTTAAATACTATGTGGAATAATTATTTGTTACTTTGAAAAAACAGAAACTGAAGATATTTAATTTTTTTAGAAAGGAGCAAAAGGGTAAAAGAGCAAAATAAGTTGGTTCAATTATTATTTATAGATATTTTTTATGAAACGATCGTATTTGTATTTTGATCTTTTCTTAAAAGATATTGACTATTCCAGACACGTCATGAAAGATCTGCATTTTTAATTAAGCGGATGAAAGATATTCAAAGACATAATTTTCATGAGATTTTATTCAATTAATGTAATAGGTGGCAATTAATATAATAGCATAACTTATTTCTTAGGAGTAATTGTTGTACTTTAAAATTGTGTTATAGTAAAGTGGCATCTGTGGACATTGGTCCAGTGCATTGATTATTAATTACAATTTAGGCGGATTTTTTACCTTTGGACTGAATTTTTTTCTACCCACAACACGGATGTTAATGCCCGAAGTTGAATTTTATCTGGGTCCAGAAGTAACTAGTCAGCCTTTGAAAGTTGCGACATATCTTATGAGATTATGGCACTAAGAGCCCCTGGATGGTGGTTGGTTCCTGCCTATTTAGGGAGTTACCTCATTTATCAACGCGGAATCTCGTTAGACCGAGCAGAATAAACTTTACGTTCAAGTATTAAGAGCAAAGAATACTAGAGATGAAACGAATAGTGATTTGGTCGGATACCGGATAGCCGGATAGTCGGATATGCGTATAGCCGCATATCCGGCCGCCGGATATCTACCCCACTGCCGTAAACATGTCGCGACCGGTTTACAGCACGCATCACCATGATTGATTGATTGACTAGTGAATGAATGCACTTTCACATTGACGATTTGATTTGTTGTGGTCACTGGGTTTTTATAAAAACTATTAATTATTCGATAATACAAACAAATACATAATAAAAAAATGTTAATAGCGAAAATAAAAATCGCAAATTCGGCAATATTTTAATATCAGTGCTGTTTGTTTGTTGTGCCGAATGCAAATTTCTCGCGGTGGAGAAGGAGAAACGCGATTACGTCATTCTATGGCTATTTTAAAATTTCTAGTTGTTATAATATAAGCCTAACATTTGATACACCCGTTATTATTTTGTTTCAATTTTAATTTCTTTGATTTGTTTGTGATCTCAGTAATTCTAAATTTGCAAAAAAAAAAAATCCACTTACACGTTTCATTATTGTAGGCACACATTATTTAAAGACAGTTCAATTAAATCGTGATCGCGATCCTTTCTATTGGTCGTCTGGCAAGTAGTAGTGAAGTAGTGCTTACAAATTACGAAGGTTTGCAAGAATTTATAATGAAAAACTGTCCTCTGCAGCTGGCCTGGTTTACGAAAATAAATAGAACCAACTTTTACCATTTATTGCAGAATAATTGGTCTTCCTCCACCATTATTTGCCTTTATTGAAATTTGAGTTCTAAATTTACAGATAACAGTGTTTAACTTCATAGTTATTTAAGTTACAAATAATAAACAGATTGTCAATGATCCTGCAGTTGCGGTTTATCCTATTACTATCATCTTTAATCAATAATCAATTTATTTGGCGTACTGACTGTGAATTTTTCTCAGTTTTAAATAGCCGGTATCCGGCCGGATAGTGAAAATAGGCCGGATAACGGATAGTTACCGGACATCCGTTTCATCTCTAAAAAAAGTGCTCGTGCCGATGCTAACATTCGATTGGATAGGAAATTTATCTTTGGGTACCATGGAATTATAAGCGAACTCGTAAGTAGGTACAATCAGAATGACGAAACATGTCAACACTCGGGAATATAGACGCTAGTATCGATTACGTGCGAGAAAGCGATTTTAAAAGTGTACATTCCTCCGAACCGATAGGTGGCGTCGAGTACAGTCAAACATGATCGACTCGAGTCAATTCCACTGCGATAGTTGTAGTAACTTCCTTAATATTTAATCTAATATTAATATTACGCTTCTAATAGTACGATCACATACCATTATATACCATATGAGCCATATTATATAAAAAGTGTAATTTATAAGTTTATAGTGACTGTTCCAAACATGTGCTTTTTAAATATGTTTTTAAAGAAAATGCATTTATAAAATGTTTGTCAAATCTGGCCCGTGGTCATGTCACTGAAGTCATATTCAAGCGTAGATGACACCGCAACAACTTTTTGATACCACTGGTGTGATATTGTTTAACATTGATCAATTCTAAGTCGTTTAGTCACACGTTTTAAGGTTACTGCTAGGTTAAGTAGACAATTATGTAAATAATCTCAATTTGGTTTTTTATTGTTTATCGTTGTACTGTTGATGTTTAATATATTTTGTAAAAAGAAAATATTTATCACGCTTCGGAAGAATCTGCCAAATATTTTGTGATTCTTTTATGGCTTTTGTATTGTAACCCTGTAAGTCTATTTGTAATTTGTAGTAAAAACGTAGATAGAGCAAAGCTCTGCTTTTACTGTGCAATGGAATAAGCAAGTGATCCAAGGTAGCAAAGTCTCAATAATACAAAACGTATGCTTATTATCCGAGCTCAACCTAATCCGGATGGTCCTTTATTACATAACGACAAATTAAAAAGTAACCAGCGTACAATGTCAGCGGTGTCAACGTTAACTGGTTATTCCTGTCTCAATTGACACATCACTTTTCTCGCGGTCACTTTGATCGCTTGCTGGTACTTATAGAAAGAAATTTAGCCCTCGAACCGAACTGAGATTGACTGCGACGATGTTTGTGAAACTGATCTAAGTATGTTAGATTTAAGATTATTATAAGGCTGAACACGCACTTTGTCAAAGCTCTAGGTGTTGAGTAATCTGATTGACACCATTGCGCTGATTGCCTTGCACTTTTACTCCCTCCGTAATTTCGTAGGAAGGCTGAAGTTAGATTTAAGGGAGACCGCACATCGTGGACCCACTGCTGGTCATAGCTCACCCGCTGGACATTTAATACAAATATTCACAGGATTGTTAACTTCCCATGTCTTCAGTTTTGTGGACTTGCTCTGTAGGTTTTATCGCAATATTTCCATCACGTAAAAAAACAATGGAAATGCCTTAAGCCTCGATCACTATGAGAAACGCTGTCGCTAAAACTCATACATTCATAATTTTAACCACTATGAAATCGACTCCTCCTACGTAAAGTATCGTATTTCGAAATTGCCAAGTTTACAGGGGAGCGTTTTAAAGTTTTGAATTCACTGAAATGAGCATAACACTTGACTTTAGCATTTCTCTGTTTTGTTCGGCAAAGCTCGTTACTTTAAAACTCGTTCTCGATCTGCTGCTATCTAGCGGTCAATAACTGAAAGACGACAAATTCGAGATTTTTACTTAGTTCTCCAAAGAAGAAGATTTATAAGCTCCGAAGAATATTGCAGCTTTGCATTACTTTCATTTCTTATAACAAAAAATTGATTACAGTAAACAGGAAATGGAAAATTTATTAAAATTAAATAAAATAAGACTTAACGATGATATGAACACCATGGATATTTCAGGTGCGACTATATCGTCTTTAAACTTTTGAAATAAGGCATTTTTCTAAAATTTGAGAGAAGTTGCGCGAGATAATTGACACGACCATAACGTACAAAGCGAAAATGGCACACGTGACACGCTCACTAAGCTCTTCTACTGTTATTTAATGTTCTGTGGTTTCCATCATCGTTACGGTCTTCTCAAAGGTGAGGGTTTAGGCTGTACTCCATCATGACTACCTAATGCACGTTGACGACACACACGATCGCCAAAGATTGTGAACTGTCTTCAAGGCGCAGGTTTCATCATGATCTTTTCTTTCACCGTTAGCGAGAGAGAGGTATTACAAATAAACATTTACTAATGTATGTATCCTAGAAATTAAAGACGTACTCCCCATTGAGAAACATTATTTTCCCATTTGTCTACCAACGCTGTTACGTGCTATATAAGCAAGTTATAAGCCAGTGTTAAAAATTTAAAAGAGCAGGCTCTTCTTCCGATAGACCTATATATAAAATATAATATGCAAGCTTTCTCCTATAATGCTAGGACTGCTTATCACACAAAAAATACGAAATAGAGCACGCGCAGTTGGCAAATGCGGGTTTACCCGCGGATAGTTTGGCACGCTGTGAATGAAAATATACCGTTTAGTGACGAACCATTTGACGACCTCGGTTGCGCAGCGGTTAGCATTGTGGGTGCTAGACTATTAGGTCCCGGGTTCGTTTCCCGGTAGGACCAATAATTGACAAACAAACTTTTCTAAATTGGTTCTGTTCTGGATAGAGTCCCAGTTCAGTTGTTTTTTGCTCTAGTTAGAGTCCTGGAGGTCTACCACGATACTACGTGACAACGAAGTTCATCAGTACACATGTCAGTTTTACTATGAAAGTAATGTCAACATTCGATACGATAGCTGTCACATGAGCTTCGTTGTCACGTAGTATCGTATTTTGTGGTAGACCTCCAAACCATTGGCGTAATTTACACGCTTTTGACGTAATTTATACGAAACGTTTGAAAACGACTTGTCTTTCAAATGTTATTGTTGTAATTTCCTAAGGCGATTTGATTATCAATTTCTAATCATAAATGTCTGACACCGCGTCACGCTCACGCAGTGATCACGCTGCGTGTCAGGCTGTATGCCACGTGTTGATGTATTGTGCTCTGTGAATTTTTACATGTAGGTACAAAGAACTAGCCAAATTATAATCAATTAAATTATACACACTGTTATGTTGTTGTTTTATTTAGTTGTTTTCTACTTATGAAACTATGAAATTAGAGTAGTTGCTATTCATAAAAACTAATTAGGTAATCAACGGGTTTGTTACTATAAGCAACAAAATATCGAAAATAAATAAAGGAAAAATGGCTTGCACGGCCTTTGTAACTCCCAGAGGTTTAAACTACAGTCAAAGTCAATAATCCATTTATTCAATAGGTAAAATGTTGACACTGTTCTTTTAAAATCTTTTTAAAATAAACAAATGCTATGGAATGGAATCTTAGTATGGAATAAATACACTGAGTCGTAATTGTGAGGAATACGAACGCTGTGCGGCAAAATGAGCTGGTTTATAGCTCGCACTCGCTTTTATAGAAGCTGTGAGGGTAGGAGGGCGCTAAGAGGGGGTGCTATTTATAATATTTGGGTGCTGATAAGCAATAACGTGTCCGCCAACATGATCATAGATTTGCGAAAATTGCACTAGACTTTTTCTCGTTGTTTTTGATTTGAAAATTTCCTTGTATAATGAAAATATTTTCGGGTTACTACACTTTATACGCAGTGTTGCGAAACCAAAATAGTAACGCAAAATGAGTGGTGAATAAGACGTTTATTAAAATCAATGGGACAGTATAATTTGAACATCGGTCTAAGTTAAATAAGATTATTAATCATCATTATAGTAAATTTCATTTTATGGATACTAATAATTTTATTAGTAAATATTTTTATTTGACTAAAGATAGGTATTATCTTACTAGTTATTTTAGGAGACAGATAGCAGAGTTGCTATCATATTATATTAATAATTCAGGCAAATCATTGGCTACCAGACCGGCTGCTTCTATTGAGCAGTCCGTTGACATAGGTCAGTTTACTGACAATAATCATTCTGTTGAAAATAATTCAATTTCTAATTATTTAAATTAATTAATAAGACAACGGAGAGATACTCTTGCAACACAATGACAGTAAAAAACCAACCTAAAACACACAGAAATAAAATAAATTGTATATTAAACCTGGTGCACCAAAATATTCAAGGCATGAAAGGCAAAGAGTTAGAAATAGAATTATTTATTAACTGTAATAATATTGATATTCTTTGTATTACTGAACACCACTTTCTATCAAAACATCAGTTCATGTTTAGCTTCAACAATCACCAGGTGGCTAGTTCGTTCAGCAGAGAAAAAGCTATTCATGGCGGCTCTTTAATTCTTATTAAAAATAATTTAAAATTTAAAGAACGTACAGATATTGTGAGCCTATCTATTGAGCGGACTATAGAGATATCCTGCATAGAGCTTGAACGGCTTGTAATATTAAGCGTGTACAGACCCCCTCATTCATCTTACGAACTAGTTGATAAAATTATTTGAATTAGATGAAGTTTTAGGCAAATTAAATAATCCAAATGAATATATTGCTGTTTGTGGTGACTTCAATGTTACCTTATTAGAAGATTCCAGTTCTAGCAGTAGGCTCATATCATTTTTCCAATGTTATAATCTTGTGAATCTTTTCTTAGTGCCTACTGGAACAACTTCTACTACTGCCACTTGTTTAGACAACATTTATACTAACGCCGTACCTAGTAATAAATCTATTATAAATAAATTAACTTCTGATCGCTGCGGTCAATTGGCCACTTTTAATATAACTGTTGACAAAATGTCAAAAAAGGATATCACATGTGTTCCGATAAATAATGGTCGACTTAAAGCTTATAGAAATAATGTAATACTTAAAGTAACTGACAATCCATATGTTAACGATCCCAATAAATTGTATAATTCAGTTTTCAACATAGTGAAAAGTGAACGTGATAATGTTTTTAAGCCCAAAATCATAATTATTAATAATTCATTGAAATTTAGTGATTGGGCGACTCTTTACGATGAAAGGACTTATAACACTAGTAACAGTTTTAATGATTTTGTTAGGAAATATTCGAAAATGTTTAAACGTGTTTGTGTTGCAGCCAAAGCAATGTTTATAAATAATAAAATAAAAAGCAGCGCGAATGTAGTAAAAACGACTTAGAATATTATAAACAGCGAAACTGGAAGGGTCAAACCTCGTAACTTAGATTTTCAACTAAGATGTAATGACAAAATTGTGAACACAGTCGCAGAAATTGCTAAAATATTTGAAAATTTTTTTAGTGACATTCCAATCTTGACTACTAAGTCGTTAAATTCGTCTCCCACCGCCGCCGAATCCTTACTAAAAGAAAATAATGCAGTTAGTATCACTAATTTAAGGTTCCGTCATGTATTTCCAAACGATATTGTTAAAGCTTTTAAGTCTATAAACAAAAAATACTACTGATCTTGATGGTCTTTCAGTCAGAGTAATTAGTTCTATACTTGATTGTATTGCGCCTTACTTTAATAAATGTGTGGATGATGGTGTCTTTCCTGACCTCATGAAGCAAAGTAAAGTTATTCCACTTTTCAAATCTGGTAGTATTTCTGACCCCACCAATTTCAGACCTATATCAATATTACCAACTCTTAGTAAAATATTTGAAAAAATTAATCTAAATCAGATGTGTGCACATTTTTATAGTAATAACTTAATGTCTCCTAAACAATTCGGTTTCACTCGGGGTCGCTCTACAACCGACACTGGTGTCGAGTTGATTAATCATATATTTGATGCATGGGAATTCTCACATGATGTTATTTTTGTATTTTGTGACTTTTCCAAGGCTTTTGATTGTGTGCACCATGATACTTTGGTCAGGAAACTTCGCCATTATGGTGTGGCGGGACGTGATCTTGACCTTCTTAAATCGTATTTGCGTGTCAGGGTACAGAGGGTCGATGTTAACGGTACGAGATCATCAGGGTCTGCAATTAGCATGGGTGTCCCTCAAGGTTCAATTCTAGGCCCATTTTTGTTTATAGTTTATATTAATGACTTACCTAGCCTTATAGAGGGTATAAAACATGAGATAGTAGTGTGTGCTGATGATACTTCCTTATTATTTAAAGTTAAAAGGCACCAATGTTCCTACGACGATGTGAACAATGCTATATCTAAAGTAGTTGATTGGTTTGCTGTTAGTAACCTACTTCTTAATGAGAAAAAAACAAATTGTGTGAAATTTACATTACCCAATGTTAGAGAGACGGTTACAAACATTGTAGTTGGAAACGAAAAATTGAATCTTGTGGATACAGTTGTATGTCTAGGTATAACGTTAGATGTTAAATTGCAATGGGGCCCCATATAAGTAAGTTATCAAAACGGCTCGGCTTTGCAGTGTACGCGATTAAAAAAATAAGGAAAATTTCAGACGTCGAAACCGCTACATTGGTTTATTTCGGCTACTTTCACAGTCTAAATGACATAGGGCAGTTTGCTTTGGGATAATGCCGCCGATATCAATAGAATCTTTGTCCTGCAGAAACGTGCAGTTAGGGCAATTTACAATCTGGGCCCCAAAGTATCTTTGAGAGATAAGTTTAAGGAAATTAACATTCTTACACTAGCCTCACAGTACATTTATGAAAATGTAATTTATGTTAAAAGGAATAGTAATTTCTTTATGAAAAATAGTGACAGACATAACATTAATACGAGGAATAAAAATAAACTGGCTGTTCTTGATAGTCGTCTTCACAAAGTAAAAAAATAATTTAAGGGGCAATGTATACGCTTGTATAACAAGATTCCGGTTGATATGCAAAATTTGCCTTTCACGAGGTTTAAAACTATAGTGAAACAAAAACTTTATACTAAAGGTTATTATACAACTTCTGCGTACTTGGATGATAAAAATCCGTGGTAGTAACCCGTTTAGCTCATAGAGGTAGTCTCGATCTCTGATGTTTCAAATAAAAAAAAAAGATTGTAAATGTTATTTGCAAAGAGCAACCCCTAGAGTTTCTTGCTCATTCTTCTCAGGGGAATCTGCCTTACGAATAAGCGGTAGAGTTTAACCATATCGTGACGATTTCTAGTATAATGATGGTTACCTATGAAATAAAGATTATTTTGAATTTGAATTTAATAGCAATCGGACGAACATAGACCTCTTTTGGCGACCAGCTGTGACGCAGCCTTCTTAGAACCTACTTATGGTTCTGTTTACATTCCTTTTATGAAGTACGGCTGAAATGGGTAAAGTGGCAGAAGTACCCTGGACGAACTCTTTCATAAGGAGCTCTACTACTACGAAAGGAACTTTTGTATAATAAAGTTCAGAATAGGCTGATTTGCATTCATATTAGACACAACTGGTGGATAACTGACTTATCACCCAATCAGCCGTGATCATGGAACCTATAAAGGGCCCGTTACGTTTGTTTGAGAAAACAAACATATCGGAAAAAATTGTTTCACTTCCAATGTATGGCAATTGCAAAAGTCTAACAACTCGGTTCGGTTCTTAATGATGATCATAAACAATCAACACAGTGTCGGCAGAAAGAGGTATGGTGGCAGTACCTACTTCCTTGAACGAACTCTTTCTGTAGGAACTCTACTGCTGCTAAAATATCAACATTACAGCGTGTTAAGTCTATGGACCTTAGAGGATGGAAAAGGACGCGAGTATGACAATATGACAATTGCACAAGTTGAGGTAGGAGAGTAGGTACACTTTTCTTAGAGGATGGAAAAAAATAATAGTATTTTGTACATTAGCGTTAAACGGTCTAGTCTGTTACCCCGTAGGTCATCGGCGTATTGTGTCACTTACCTGATCTGACGACCTTCCTTTCTCCGTTCTCGAATTCGTTCTTCTTTAATTTTGAATCAACAGCCGAATCGGTCAATAGGAACTTCTTTAATTAAACGTCACTTTAGACAAATGTCAGGCAAGTCGGTTTCCCGAAGTTTTTGCCTACATACCGTATCTGTTGCTGAGATGAAGTGAAACCCAGTGGAGCGAGGATGGAGATGAACGATGTGGAACGCGCGTCGAGCGTGGGCGGGGGCGCGAGCGGGGAGTGCAGCTGCCGCGACCGCAGCGCCGCGCCCGCCGCCTCGCTGGCCGTGCTGCAGGAGGTGCACCGCGCCTACAGGGCTCGCCTCGAGGCCATCGAGAAGAAAGGCGGCAAGAAGAAGCTCGAGGTGGGCCACGCTCCACTCACTTCTTTTAGCGCTGACTGTGAAGCCGGGAATGCGTCACAGGGATATCAAACTTGTTTGTAAACAAATAACTTGCACCATAATTAGCAAACAAGAGATACGGTCTGACAAGTTAATGACCGTATTTCACGTTAAGTGGTCAAATTGTCTGATCGAGAAAAGTAAGTAAGTAGTTACGGCCAGGAATGCGGATATTTTTAGACTACTTTTGGGTTTATCAGGTGTATATCGAAATTGGGCTCATAATTAATATAATATAATATATAACGCACACACTCAACATAGACCCGCACTAGGGAAAACCTGTATCACGGGTGCCATGGACACACACATAGACAACCACAAATTACACCCAAACTCATGAGAGAAATAAATGTAGGCCATACAAATATTTCTCCCTGCCCGGGAATCGAATCGAAGGCATGGTAAGCATTCGGCCACGGAGGCAGTTAATTAAGAACATGAAGTGCGAAAAGTCGTCTGGGCATGACAGCTTGCTTTTTAATTTATGCATTCTACTTGCCGGTGGATTTGATGAGGACGGACTGAGGCCTGTCTTAAAATCTAAGACTGCCGATGTCTCCGACAAGGAGAACAACCGTTCGATATCGCTAGCTACGATCTACCACCATGTCAACCAGGTGAGATGGCATGAATCGCTCACGAGCTGTGCCTTTATGCGCCTTAAGAAGGCTGCTGAACATTTGCGAGGAGTGTGCAAAAACTCATGGCCTTAGGTACAATGTGAACAAAAGCGAGTTTTTAGTTTTTAAGGCCGGCTGTAAATGCCCTCGAGAAATGCCACCAGTCAACCTATGCGGTATGCCACTACGCAGTTTCGCATTTCAAGTATCTAGGGCACTGGGTGACGGAGAGTCTGTCTGACGACATGGACGTTGACAGGGAACGCAAGCCGTTGGCCTTAAGGTGCAATATGCTGACCTGCAGGTTTGCACGTTGTACTACAAACGTAAAGTTCACGCTTTTTAAAGCATTTCGTTAACTTTTTCAAGTCAACTTAGAAAGCGTATCGCCCCCTGTACGTCCAGTATAATGACGCTCTTGGAATGCTGTTGGGGTTGCCGTCGCTACTGTAGCGCTCCGGGAATGTTTATTGAGGCGCGCGTCAGCGGCTTTAGCGCCATTGTGCGGAAGCGGGTAGCGTCTTTAATGCGCAGGTTGCGGCGCAGCGCCAATGGCCTTCTTCGAACAGTGGCCGACAGGAATGATGGGCCCACATTGTATCAACGGGTAGGGGTAGGTACATGTCAATATTTAGATAGTTCGTAATTTTGTGTTTAACATTATATTAATATTTTGTTCGAAATAAAGATTGAATTTAATATTACCAACTTGGCAATATAATTTGATGCAGTTACAAGTGGAAGCGCTGCGTGCATGGGTGGGCGACCTGGTGGGCCAGAACACGCTGCTGGCGCAGGCGGTCGAGGAGCTCGAGCGGGATGCGACATCGCGTCTCCTTATTGAACGCACCAGACACTCAGAGGTACATACCCACCGATGCCGGGCACGGCAAATATTACGATTGTACTTAGTACTAGGCGGCTATAAATAGCGCCTTTCATCTTGCATAGGTATGCCAGCATTTAACGGTGTTCCGTCTGGTCGACACATTTGCCTAAAACTAATCATGAAGAAAACTCACTGGAGTAGGAACGTTCCTAATCCAGTGTTAAACGTATAACAAAATTAATTGTACCAGCCCACAAAAACTTTTTGCTGATTTAAAGTAAAAAAATGCCTTTCCGCGTTATAAGCTTTTTTCACTTACGTATGTGCGTTATTGATAGAAACCAAAATAAGCTGTGGAACAGAAACCTTTGTGAAGAAAATCACAATTATATATTTCAAGAGAAATGAGAACGACAACAATATCGCAACTCGTGTAAAATATCTCGGAGTTGCGATAGTACCTTCCTGTAGAGAAGAAAGAAATTGATTGCCGCAGATCGAGGCGGAGCTCCGTGTCGAGGTGTCGGGGCTGCGGCGGCGGCTGGCGCGGAAGGATTCCGACCTTCGCGGGCTGGTGGAGGTGTTACGGCGGCTGCGGGAGTTCGACTACTGCACGCTCGATGGGATACACTTCTTTGAGGTCACCGAATCCGATATATTTGGATCTATGCTATGGTGAGCGCTCGATGAATACAAGGCATTTTACCGAGACTCACCAGTCTGATATAGTTGGATCTTGTTACTGCGAGATAAGCCTACAAATATTTATTTGAATTGCTGGAATTCATAATTGTGAATTTGCCAAACGGAATTAATACTACCAAATGAATCAGATAATTCTTAAATAATAACCTGTTACTTGTCCGTCCCGTTTAGCCGACGGCAGAAGACCACAGAGCAAGGCGACGGGTGGCGGTCGAAACGGGATTGCCGGAAGAGCAACAGATATTATAAGCTTTTATAGCATTTTTACATGTTGAAATTTACTATTTAAAAAAATATATATTATACGCATATTTTTTTGTTTTATTTTGGCAAAGATTGCATTTAAAAGGACGGAGTGTATAGTCAAATATTCCTTTGGGTAACGGAGCTTTTTAGTGAGCTAACATTGAATAGTGAAACAAAAAAGTTACGGTAAAGGCATTGACCTACATGGGTAAAGGTATTGCTTCTGTGTAGCGTCTACGTACTACTTAAATCCATGGTAGTGACCCGTTTAGCTTTTACAGATTGTCGATTTATCTATCATATTTGAAATAAATATTTTAATTAATGATAAACGTAGGTCATTACCTAGTAGGCTTACAAATTTTTATTTACAAAGGGCAACTCCTACAGTTTCTCTTAGTCATTCTTCTCAGACGAATCTGCCTTACGAATAAGTAGTAGAGTTTAATCTATGTGACGATATCAAGTGTGAAGAAAAAAACAAAAATTGTGTGAGTATGATCTAAGGTAAAGTTGATTAAAAGCTTAGGCAACTTCCATTGTAAGCAATCAATTGCTATGATTTTTGTGTTGGTGGCTTTGTATAATGCTCTATTTACTTTTTTAAAGGCGTGGTAACAGTAGACAGCATACAGGTTATTTTGCTGAACAAAAAATAAAAATAAGTAAATTGGGGCAAGATGGTTATGGTTTTGGTGTACGAGATGGTCCGTGGGGATCATTTTGTACTGTATATATTGTTAACGGACTATTTTTAATTTGTATGTTTTCCTGAGTACTGAAACCTCTTAATTAAATAGACTGCAATACGCATAAAATAGTAGATGACTGGATTTCGTTTACATGATCGATCTCGATTAATAACAAATATAAATGCTTTTTTTTTGTTTTAGACCAGACCGCGTAATTGTAAATGAAAAACCATTCGTGGTGGGTGGTCGGAAGACTATCTAAAGAACTAGAGGCGTAAAAATTAGGACGCCACATAGATCGGCAAGTAAATAGTTAGCAGTAGGTACCCGTTATGTCATTAAAATGACGGGCTAAAGGTAAAAATAAAGGATCTGTCAGTTCAATTAAATATTTATGTGAAAAAAACTGTTTTCATCAGATGTGTTAAACAGGAAATCGAGCTCGTAAAGTACATTAAAGATATGGAGACGAGAATGGATAGCAACTTGCCATAAAAAACAATATCGCCCACCCTTAAGTACCTGTGAGATATAAATTAATTAGGATTACTTGTTCTCAAAGTTCCGTAACTGTTGTTTCATATACCTAGATTACATTAGTGAGGATTTTGTTAAGTCTAAAAAGTTGTTGTTTTCATTTGTTTCTACCAAAACCTACAAATTTCCCTAAATAGAGGTAAGGTCCCCTGGATCACCTTGCCCATAACCTTAGGATCATCTTGGACACCCCGGTGTCCAAGACGATCCTTTAGTAGGGTTTTAAAAATATTCAAATATAATAATGAAAGATCAAAAAATAAAATGTTTTTAGTAAGACAACATGTAAATAGATAAATTTTCTATCATTCAATGCTTTTACATCTGCTGTAAGCTGAATATCTTTTCAACTACCACCATTCTTCCTTAAGGGGATCATCATACACCTTTCCCCTATTTGCGTTTGAATCCTTCTGTTGACCTTCCCATGGATTCCCCACGGCTGGTCTAGCAACGCTCCCGCGCCCTCAGACCGAACTTATAAGTACTTGAGTAAGACTATTTGACTAATGTTATTGTAGGTAGATAAAAGAAAAAAATCCAACCTTGACCTGAAACAATTGCGAAGCACCAACGACGCGCTGCAGAAAGAAAACTTATCCAAAGAAAGGTAAATACAAGCTTGTATCTTTTCGTACAATGCCAGCGTGCCTTTAGATACGATAAATGTCTTTTCATTTAGATTAAATGCGTTTATAGGGTTGCTATTCATTACCATGACACACCTATGCGTGTAAAATAAAAGTGTATAAAGTGTAACTTTACGCATCACGCCTTAACTTGTAGGGAAATACGACGACTTAACATCGACCTGCAGAAGCACGAACAAACTTTGGTGAACATGAGAAGCGAAACATTGTGCAACTATCGCTCGCAGTATGTACACATGCATTTTATTTGATATTACCTACAATCAGAACTTTATTCCTGTTTAACGAGTTTAGATCGACTGAAGTGTGGCGCTTGAGCTAGCAGTCTGTGTCGTAGAACACATCGCGTGACAATAAAATGTAGACATACATTTCACATACCAGACTAGATCTGCGAGCGAAACTTTTCTCGCTTGACAGGAAAAGAGCGGTTGAGCTGTATATTTCTGTTGGGTTTTTTTATTATTTGTATTGGCTTATACTGGAGACAATTGACGTGGTGTCAAATATTGCAGAGAGTGTCAAAAAAAAGACGCCGAAGTTATGGTTGGAATGTGCTGTGCCAGAAATGAGGTACGTAACTACTTTTTCCGCGATTGTTTCTTAAACATTGGTCCAAACTATGCCACGTAATTTCTTGTATAGGTGACCCTAAAGTTGGTGGTACTTATTTCGATATTGGGCTTAACAACATGCCAATCAACATACGTAGGAACAGCGGGTAGGTACCTACATTATTTATTGTTAGATTTTAGCACGACCCAAGAGAAAGTATCGTTGCCTCGAGTGAAAAAGCTTGAACACGAATCGGGGCACGATGCTGAATTGATTGATCCGTTTGGTAACCACTGTAGCGCGGCGAGCCGCTCGTCAACTACGGCCTGATGCTGCACGACGACTCGCTTAAGTTCCAGGACAGAATACGCAAGATGGAGGGCAACCTTAAGGTGATTTACTGATTTTTATTTCTGCTTATACGAGTATGTTACAAATTGTAAAGACAGATTATTCAAAAGTCTTGAAATTACTTATAACATTGTATAAAAGCGTAATAGGACATTAGGACGGACGAGATTGTTTCGTCTGTCATATGTGGCGGTTGAGCCAACTTTTCCACAGTCATCGAGCGACAACGTGCGCGCTCTGCGGCGCGTGAACGTGGCCCTGAGCGAAGAGCTGCATGCGCTTCGGCGCGTGTGCGCAGCGCTCGATGAACAGTGCCGCGCAGCCGCACTTCGAGCTACCTTCAAAGATGAGATTATCAGGGAGATGAGACGACAACTCAAACAGGCTAAAGCTAAGGTATGACGAGATGACACTGCTCTTAATTATAACGGAAATCCTTTAAGTACTTAGTGAAAAGTCTCTGCATATAGAAGACAATGCAGGAGCTTGTACATTTAAAACAACGGCCGTACGATGTAACGTTTATTGCGACACTTGCTCCACGTAAAAAATAATACCTACACACGTATTTCTTAATATAACTGATGTGTTACCTTCTTTAAAGCCTTTTCCATACATTTTGAAAAGGACGTTCTTCATAATTACCATCTGGTTCATTTGATGTCCCGTGTCGAATTATTTCCGTCGAATCAGTGAAGCAATTTCGATCAATTTTTATTAAAATTTTGTGAGACAACGTCATGACCCCAAAAATACGAGATTTGAGAAGCCACGTAATTTTCTAATAAAATGCCTTAACGCTTACATACAATTTCAGTTAAAGGAAACGGAGAACTCATCCACAAAGAATCCAAACCTGGATCAGAAACTCCGTAGCGAAGTGTCGTACAGCTCTCTACCAGTGGCAGTACGTTCGCAGCCACGGCGCACGCGCAGTCCTGAAGAATCGGTGTATCCGTTACATGATTCCGACGACTGCCACAGCCCCAGGTTGGATGGATCAGGCGATGATTGCCTTTGAGGGAAAGCCATTCTAATCCCCTACGATAGTTCGAGTCTACTTACGTGTTTGAACTTCTGGTGATAGTTAATTATTTTAACGTTAGTACTGCAACATCCGGCTAATCGGCCTTTAAACATGGAATCTCCACGTACCTATTTTGTACATTTTGGATAGTTGGAGTCACACAATGGATGTAGATATACGCGGCAAAACATGACCTATGAGTTTTACAGGGGAGTGTGATGTAAAAACCAGTAGTTAAAACACAGTTAAGCTCTTAAACAATATTTGTCAAAGTTTTGTTTATGGGTAGTCCGAAGGTTGTCCACGTAGTAGCTTATATCCTAATGCTGTATTATAACGTAATAACAGTCTTTGTTTCGTTCATATTATTTTGACAATGCGAAGAATGAAAAAAATAAATGTTTGAATAAACAAAATTATTTGTAAATGTTCTAAGTGTTGTTAATAATGTTGGCGAAACATGAAATATCATTTTGGTACAATGTACCTTTTTAGTAGTCGCTTACATGGGTTGTTATTAAACCGTTGTTTATTGTTTTAGATGTTTTTTACCGTTGCTAAGCTGCCGAAGACGCGACTCTTAATTAAACCGTAACGTAATAACATTGTCCGATTTTATTTTAATTTTAATATCTTACTTACTTATTAAAATTTGAACGATTCCATGTTCACACGCTCAAATAGTCGAAATTCTAAGCAATTATCTATAGTATTGCAATAAGAGGTACGTCATATACGTGAGATACCTGATCCTCTAACATGCCTAATACTTAAAAAATAAATAAATAAATAAAAAAATAAATAAAATGCCTAAACCGACTTTTAGGTTCTGGGATCTTCCGTATTGAACAAAGAAAAAATTGAAGCAATTTAAATTTTATTGTGTAAGCAGTACACTGGAGTGTTGATTGACGATGATCAACATATTTTTAAAACCAATACATACTAAGAAATAAAAAAAAGCGGCTTGTTGGGACTGCCAATTACAACACCTGTGGTTCGATTCCACGAGCACTATTTTGTTTCAACGTTCTATTTTTAACAATATTGTTTCTCTTTTATTTGCTCACCAGAAATTGCCTAAGGTGGGTGGGTAGATATTATTAACAAAGTGTAGGGTGGGTATGGATAGATTAACAAATGACGAAATCGCTCTGCAGTTTGCATACGATCGTGTCTTCTGTGATTACGCATCGTTCCACGTTTCGTTCCTATTTATCTATTCAGTTTCAATTATTTTCAATGTTTTCTTTCTTGTTTTAATACGCCGCAATTAACGTAATTATTAAAATTAGAAATTGTTATGCTGTATGAACAAAAAGTGCCAATCAAAGAAATTGCAAGGCGACTTCTTAAAGCGGTAAGTAATATTTTTCACAGGCCTGCAGGTGGCTTCAATTTGCAAAAAGACCACCCCATCCTGCATTATCCCACGGGTGTTTTATAACATGTTTAATGAATAATTAAATTAAAAAATATATAAGTCTAGCATTAGGTGAAATTCGATACTACGTTACGAGGGCCTGTTATACAGTATTGTAATTGCTTGTTCACAGAGAAACACTGTCAAGCTGTTGATCAATCGCCTGGAAATGTGCTACGTAAACAGCCGGGGCCAGCATCGGTGGTGTTTACTTCTGCATCTAATCGTCACCTAGATATTGTCAATCGCCATATTGAAGATCCCTTTGTCACTACAAATTCAACTGCTCAAATTCGCGAAAATAAGGGCCAGGAAGAAGGACCTTGTGCTCTCCACATGGGAGTCAATGCGTGGTGGAGATTTATGCTGGTCGAGGGTCACAGGCACGAAACACCAATTGCAAAAACCAAAGTGATCAATTGTGATGGCTTTCCTTTGCGGTATTGAAGTGGTAATTGTGTAGTTTTTTAATAATTGATATTATTGTTATTTTTGTAGCATGTCTATTCACTGCACTACCTTATAATTTTGTAAAAATGCGACCTGTAAAACTATAGTTCATAAATATACCTATGAAAAAACTAAAAGTTACTGCTTTGAAAAATGTGAAACGAATTTTATATATAGAAATCGGATTCTGGTTACTAGGGGTGGACGGAATATTCGTGTGCGGTCGACTATTCAGTAAAAAGGCCACACTTTATAGCAAATGTCCGAAGGCCATGTCCGACATCCGTTTAGCTACTGAAGAAATAAATCCATATATCCTTTATTTATTTTAATAAGAAATCATGTAAAGTTAGTGGCAGCAGGAAGTCAAATAGTACTTACTTAATTATATTAATATTAATGAAAGATTTGTTTCAGATCCAATTACTGTATTATTATGTACTATTGGATAATACGGTTACTTGCTAGGCGTAAAAATGTGCCAGGTAGCATATTGTAGTTTTTCTCTGATTCACAGTTTTAAAATATTTACGTCCTGTTTCAAATTCAATTTTAAAACAAACTTAATTCAAACCAAAATCTGTAAAGAGCCCGAAAATTTGGCTTTTGTTTGAAGAAACAAATAATATGCGATTTATTTGATGATTTCCAAAAACTGTTACTTAAATAATGGATAAAGTAACAATTGTACACTCAATAGAGTGTACAATTTATTAGTGAACATTACGAACAAAGGAGAAGAAACATGAAAATCAGTCAAGGCAAACGTTAACTTAAATAGCTTTAAACCCGAAAACCCACTTGATATCGATGTTAAGTTTACGAGACGTCATTAAACTCAAAACATTATTATGGCTTCTGTAAGGTCGGCACAGTTTGTTACTTGTTTAACGAAACATTTTACATGATTAAATTAGTTATTATAAAATTTGAGCATGTAAGTTGATACAGTTTTAATTCTACGTCTCCGGCGTTATTTCATTGACGAGAAATGTACACATTGTTCTTGTATCTGATTATCACATTACAAAAGGGGTTCTAGCATATCATATTTTTTCTTTCCTTAACCGATTTAGTTTTTAATTTTAGTAAACAAAATTAATAGATTACAAAGATCGAACACAGAAAAATTTTCGTCGACCCGGCGGGACTTGAACCCACGTTCATGCTGCACCGTAGTATTGCTCTAATAAAGGCGCAGCGGGTCGGGAACGGTTCGGCGAAAATTTTTTTAGAGTTCCATCTTTGGATTCATCGTTATAACAAAACTAGTGGAGTTATTTCACAAAAAACGTCAATAAATAAAATTAATACAATTCCAAAATATTTTTTTGCAAAAATCGTCTGCGCACGGCGATGATATGATACTCAAATCAAGTTCAGTCAATTTTGTCAAAAACATCCAGTTGGTTTCGACTGTTTTGTTAAACCGAACTAAAAATGACCTGAATTAAATAATATTTTTACTGCAATACAGCAACTATGTTGTTACGAAGAAACGGTCTCCGCTACCAGAGGCGTTACTTAAGATCCAATTCAAGATATTCGGTAACTTTATTCGTTTATATCCATGAATTCATATTTTGAACGCCAGAACTTGTTATTTATTGTAAGCCATAATTCCCGAGTTTGGACCAATGTTTATCGATTGGTTGTAGCCATGAAAGCAGCATATCTTTACCTTCAAGAATTTTGTAATTTTTTCTGTATAGACGGGCATTGGTACTGACAGTCCTGCCATACCCTTTTCTACGGCGGAGGCACGCAGGAGTGGAGAATTATTAAGCAGTGAGACACTGTTGAACGTGTGTGTGAATTTATTATTTTCTTATTATTTCCAAATATTTAATTTTATTTAATACTGTGTCATTGTCAGTTATAAATTATAAATGTAAATTGACTGTACTAATATGAATGTTGACATATGAATAAATTATTTTTGTCAGCAGTGTCACGTTGCTCCGACCGGATCGGTCGGCGAGTCGATAGATGAGCTGGAACGACAGTTCCTGAACAAATACGAACCATGCGCTTCTCACAAGGAATGCATGAGGCCTCTACATGAGACCAACAGTCTCATCGACACTACTTGTCCGGTAGGCGACACTGATCCTACCAAACGATACAAAGTAAAAGGTTCAGCTAATAATTCCGTAATGTATGACCGATGTCACCGTCCAACAAGACAAGAACGATGTGACCAACCAGCTCGCCCGTCACAAGAGCGTTGTGATCAACCAGCTTGCCCATCACAACAAGAGCGTTGTAATGAACCTACCTATTCTGCACCACCTTCCTCCAGACACCGAACACCTAAACACAGTGTACCTTCTTGGAAAATGCTCCCGACTGAAAAGAGCTCAGCTGCTGGTAATGAAGCCATAAATAAAACAAATAGAAGCTCGTCACTAAATTCAAGATCACCAAGACCGCCATTGGTATCAGATATCGTATCTAAAAATCGGCAACAAAGTTCGCGGTCTGGCACACCGAGAGATTCACCAGGTCATTCCGAATCGAAAAGTCACAAAAGGATTGTTCCAGGTCTATTTTTGAAAGATATCTCGCCTTCCGGTACGGGCGCTGATAGTGAGAGATCTAATACAAAAGACTCAACTCGACGTCTTTCGAAACTAAAAAAAACAGAATTTGTAAAACGTTCTGTAGACTCTAAACAAAGTACTAAGCATAAGCAACAAACATATCAACATGAATCAATGACAGAGGATGAATATAAATCTCCGGCAAAAACACATGACAGCGCAAGTCTTTCTGCGAAAAGCGGTCCAGATAACAGCCTTCGTCTCTCTGGAAAAAGCCGCCCAGATGGCAGTCTTCGTTTATCTGCAAAAAACCGTTCAGAAGGCAGTCCTCGTCTCGCTGCAAAAATTCGCCCGCATGGCAGTTCTCGTCTCGCTGCAAAAAGCGACAAGAAAACAATTTTTAGTCCATCCGACTCGAAACGGTCTTCTGCCGGATCCAGCACCAGAAGTTTTCCAAAAAGTAAACCTTCGCGAAAGTTACCATCGTTGGCGAAATCGTTCAAAATTCGCGTCAAAAATAATAAAAGTAAACGTAAAAAAGAATCTCGCTTAAGTTCTCCAGAGGTTGATGATGGTGAACCTTATATTAGAGTGGACATCAGTCCTCGTAAAGAAACAATTGACGGAAATAATTGTTTGAATACTGAATATCCTGAAAAGAGTCCATGTTCGGATGAAGGTGCTGTCGTGGGTGAAACCGCGCTAAGAGAGACTGCTGCTCAAGATTCACCCCGAATTTCCCCATGCCCATGTTTTCGTTCATTTTTACCAGAGTCCGAAGAAATTAGTCCTAGGCATAGTAGAAATTCTCCTCGAGTTACCTTAGCAGTAAAATCCCGTTCTAAACAACCTTGTTACAATCCTGAATGTCCTAAAAAGGCTGCTTGTAGATCACCGTCTGCAGATGAAGATGTTGTTGCAAACAAAATTCACCATTTTAAACTGCCTTGTTATAATCCCAATTGTCCTAAAAAGAGCCCTCGTAGGTCGATGGGTGCGGATGAAGATGTAGGCCCCAGTAACGGAATTCCCCTTTCTAACCTAATTTGTTCTAATCTGGAATGTCCTAAAAAGAGCCCTCGTAGACCATCACGTGTGGATGAAGATGTTGGCACAAGCAAAGAAATTCCTCGCTCTAAAATACCTTGCTATAATTTAGAATGTTCCAAAAGGAGTCCTCGTAAATCTTCGTGTGTGGATGAAAATGTTTGTCCTAGCAACGACTTTGACCGATACAAGCCGCCATGTCTAACCAGGGGTCCAGTTATCCCCGTGTACGACAGACCGCCTTGTATGGGGTACATGGTTCCACCCGGCGTGAAGGACACTCTGAAAGATATCGTGAATAAAATAACAATATTTGGCTTATCATCTGGAACACCAGAAGTGGGTAGGTATCCAATGATAAGGTTATTAGCATTTTGCGTTAATAGCACGTGGAAGAACCTAATATAATTCAACTTTTTAGTTTTTAATTACACTGATAATACTTAATACTATTTTTAGCCCTAACGTAATACGAGAAATTAAAAAAGGTGAATCTGTAATAATGACATACGATACGAGGTCGTAATTTTTCAAATAACATTGAGTAGGTATCTTAAAATGGCAATCCATGGCACACAGGTATACCATAATATAATAATATATTCGTTTCAAGGCCCTAATAAGCCCGTGACTGGACCTTGTATGAGTACGACCGAAGAGTCCGACACACGGCGCTCGGTGCGGCTCTGCGACGCTAGCACCGCCTGCTCTGGGAATATCGAGGAGCTTTTTTTCAATCGGTACTTACAGAAGAGTGATGCTTCGGTTGACTGGTTAGTTAAGGGAGATTTAAATAATTTTACATTAAGTAATAAAGCTTATCTCACTCTTTGTTTACGTAATTAGCCTGATGTTGCGTAAAGTTCTTTGAAATAGTCGAAAGAATTATTTGCTACATTGTAGCAAATATATTGTAGCTGCTATTGTATTTCGTGGTAATGGTATTTTTACTTTTGTGTAGCTAATAAATTACAATCGAGCAGAAAATCTTTCTGGATATAGTAGTTATATGCTTTAACGTAAGACATAAAATGTGATAGGATTGAAAGGTTTAAAGCAGGAAATGAAATGAACGTTACATACTCCAAAAATAGTAAATCGAGATAACTTTATATGAAGAATATCTAGAGAAAGATGTATTGTTCCATTCGTTTTAATATTATACATTTTTATAAATAGGATTACAATATTATTTATGCCCAATAAACGGTTTATCCATTAAGAACCGCTTTCGTTTTCAGCGATCGCGTTCACGCGTCATTTAAGGTGATGTATTTATAAATTATTGTTAGATGACATTAAAACTTCTGGAATTTGAAAAGATTTTTCGACTTGTTTATTATTTTCATTGCAGGACTCGACTTCACACCCGTGAGTATAATATGACCAAAAATCACTTCTAACCCAAAATAATATAAATTGGAGTCTTTGCCTTCATGTTTGTCACGCTTAATACCGTCACGGTTGGGTAATAAATCTTTATTTCAACAGTGAATGTAAAGCGAATCGGAAATACATTAAAACGCAAAATGTAAGTGAGTTTTATATGGAATAATTTCTTTACATAGTTAACTCTATCGGGTATAGTTTACCACACTTAGACTCGCCTCATTTTATTTGAAGTTTTGTGTAGTTTTACCTTTCAAATAAATAAGTAATGTAGATCTTAATCATTATTCGCAGTTGCTAAGGCCAAGTAGCTTTTATATGTGCTGTTGTAGTAAGTACAGGTACATAACTAACTTTCATGCAAGCTGGTTAAAAATGTAAGACCTGTGACCTGTCGCAACACCATAAGAACGCCTGTGTTTCCTACCCGCAGGGCATAACGGCGAGGCAAGCTGATTTAGTGCATCATCGCCACGCCTGTTTTCGAGCTCTTTCGCTCTCCCCGATTCTTTGAGGTTTACACTCGTGGAGATAAATGTTTTATTATAATGTCAACTGACTGCTACTCCGCTTTTCTTTTGCGAATTCTACAAGTGTCTAAAACCATCGACGAATAAATTTTGTAGGTAGATAGGTACCGTGGTACCACGGTTTTTTTATTAAAATGAAATCTTCCATTATAAAACAAATATTATGACCTTGTGCCTCCCGTTCTTCGAAAATGTAAACGTATCGGTTCGGAAGGCAATATGAATTACATATTTTCATTATGTGGTATAATACAAAAGCTATTAGGTTTGATGTCGTGCTAAAACCTCAAGTTTTGGCGTTGACTTTATTTGCGGCACAGCTTATCGTTCGTGAAATATCGTATGTTTCTGTATTTGCACGCTATAAATGTTTTATTATAATTGTAATCGGCTAAAATAAGTAAGAGCCACTTTGAGCGTTCAATTTGAAACTATCGACATTAAATATATTCAGGAAATGAAACAATTTTTCCGGATTTAAATCGCGTATATTTGTTTTTACAAACAAACCAACGTTTCGGGCCCTTTACAGGTCCCACGGTGAATGTTGACCATGGCATATACGCCATTTAAATCCGGAAAAATAGTTTCGTTTCCTATGTGTAACAATCGCGAAAACCTAAGAACTCGATATTAAATATATTGTTTTACTTTGAAATAACTAAAATAGCTAATTCTGTACATGCGTAAGCACGCGTTTGAAGATTCTTAAATCATAAAGTTATTAAAAATAGCGTTGTATTATTTTTGTACGCGAGTGTAGAGCCACTAATGGCGCAATGTGTCGAAACAGCTAACCGGGTGACAGCGGAAACCGGCGCCCATGCGCACCTTATAGGAAAGCTCTTTAATGAATGCGATACGGGGTGTGTTTATTGTACATACAAACTCTGTTTTAATTCTGAAAGTAACTTTGGGTTTTCTCTTTTCTTATATGCAGGAGTTTCAAAGAAGGAATTAGATACTTTGTTAGGTTACTGATGGATAATTTGTAGGTTTGAGTACCCTAGACCCATGCCAAGACGGGATCGTAAAAACTATGACATCACGACCGATATGGCTTCCTATTACCAGATACAAAGTTGTTAGTATAGTCTGGATATAAATACTCGTGTTGATGAAAATGAATCCGTAGCTAGTGACTACGTTTATCTGTTTACCATCAAGTTTATGATCACTTAAAATAAAGCTTCTGTTTACTTATTTTCCCATTCAACACAAACACTCTATAAGTCCTTTACGGTTTACCATTCTACACAGTTAAAAATACGCAAACGTCATGTCTCCCCTTACGACGAGGGAAAAGGAAACGAGGTGCGGGGGGAATATTTCACAATGATTTTAAATTAGTTCCAAAATCTTCCGTTGAAATATAGTTTTTCTGTAGTGTGAGAAGTTAGTGGGGCACCGACTTCCTCCAAAATGCCTATTTGCGTCCGACTAAAAATATACATGCAACGACTGCACGGCTGGAGGTGCAGTGTTCTGCGTACGCGCAGCTAACGCAGTGTTTACTTACTGTTTAGTAGTAAACAGTAGATTTAGTGTTGTACAATTTGTTGTATAATTTACTTGGTGTGTTTATTGTCTTTTGTATGAATGAAATTGTTTATTTTGCGATTCGATTATATTCATCCGCGTTTTTTAGTCGCGCAATTTTCCTAATACATAGTGTTGAATTACAACGATCATAAGGTTACATTTATGCAGGTGCATAGTAAATTATTTATAGTCATGTCAGAATGATGTTCAATGGGTTAGTAATGTGCGGGGACTCGGATAATGCCAGTGACGTTACGAAGGTAGGTGTTTATTACTTTTGAAAAAAAAAGTATGATTTTTTTTCACCGATTTTGGGTGACTAATTGAGTGAGTATCTCTTCCTAGCGCAAATAGGTATGCTCAATCAAATGTGCTCAAAATTTCCGAACAATAGAAATACTTCATCAATCAATGTTAACGATGCGATACAGGCGCGTGCACTGACTAATGCACTCCTACTAGACTTGAAAATAACAGTTTCATTTCTAGAATTAAAATCGGACGGACTACACCTTGAGGTTTTAATAGGCTCTGCAATTCGATTTTGTTACAAGTTTCCTTGTTACTTTAAAGGTTTTTTATTTTCATTTATTTTGTAATAGGAGAGCGGCGCAGGATCGAGCCTACTGAGTTGCAGTGGCGTCGGCGGATCTTGTGATGGTGCGCGCGCGCAGTATTATCACAATAAATTGCTCGCGACGCTTCAAATCGTAATTATCATTATTTTTGTTTAATTTTTTATATTAAAGTTTTTTTTTTATAAAATATAACGTTGAGGGAACAAGTCTGCAGGCAGGGAATTCTACTCCATAGCCGTTCGCTATATAAACGTGGAAGCGTAACACTTCCTGCGAATCTTTGGAATATCCACAACATAGGGGTGGAAACCAAGCCTACGCCTAGTCCCTCGGTGATGGAAAGGGGAAGGCGGAATTAAATCGTGTAATTCCCCGTGATATATCCTGTAAAATACCGACAAGCAGGCAACTTTACGGCGGTGTTTAAGGCTTTGCAGCGTCGCTTCCACTAATTCCGAGTCACCAATAAGCCTCTTGACACGATTGTCAATTGAATCCAAAGTGGCCAGTTGATACGTAGCAGAGCTATCCCAAAGGTGGCAGCAGCACTCCATGTACGACCGGACTTGTGCTTGGTACAGCTGAAGCAACTGTCCCGGTGTAAAGTAACGCCTCACCCTGGAAAGGATGCCAAGCTTCCTTGCTGCATTTTTGGTCATGGATTCAATGTATCTGCCGAAGTTCAAATTGGACGACAGGTCCATTCCAAGTAGCTGGAGGCAGTCGGCTATCGGTATGGATATATCATGAAAAGTCGGAGTCAGCTCGAAGGGACTCCGTTTTGTGGAGAATAAACACGCCTGAGTTTTGGTAGCGCTAAATTTGACAAGATTGGCATCGTCCCAATCGGAGACTGCCTGGAGTGTTAAATCCAAACGGCTAACCATGCACTCTCGACAAGACTAGATTTCCTCTCCACTGACCCTTGCATTGGTCAAGTACCTATCTACAACTGCTGTCATCAGCATACGCAAAGGTACCTGGAATCAACATATCATTGATGTGCAGCAGAAAGAGAGTTGCAGACAGTACGGAACCCTGCGGAACTCTCAGGAATCTATCACCATATGTTCGGAAGTGTAGCCTTCTAAGACCGCTCGAATCGAACGTTCACTCAAGAAATCCGACATCTAATTGCAAAGGTCAGTGGGAAGCTCATATGAGGGAAGCTTACTTAAAAGGCTTACGTGCCAGACCTTGTCAAAGACTTTAGAAATGTCCAAAGACACTGCAATTGCTTCAAGTCGACGAGTCTCATGTGCCTGTTATTTCTCCAGCACCATTACCCTTCAAAACCGGAACGCAATAATGCTCACATTACTGCTTGTCGGCAGAAATTGGTAAGGGATATTACTTCCACTATAAGAATGAACTCTTTCACAAGGAGCTCTACAGTACTGAAGTTCAGTGTGCTGAGTTGATTATCCTCAATCGTAAGTAGTGGGCAAAAATTGTCAACTGCATGAGAAGTACCCAGTTAGCACACAGAATTTAGCATAAGCTAAGGATATTCTACACGTATTTAAACGTTATATAGAGTAACCGTGGGATTTAACACATTTTGTAGAAATACAAAAGTACATAACAAAAATAACGTATAAACAGACTCATATAGGTAATATATTCTGACACATTCGTTCTGCTACCTACGGACGAGGACGAAGTTGAGCGAATCATAGTGAATCTTGGTGGATATCTCGGGCTCTTTTCTAAAAAGATTCAAACATATGTTTACTTTCCCTATAACGTACCTGTGTAATCGCTCCTTTTCTACCGGTGTCTTCCCTGAACCTGTGCCGTTAAGCTCGCAATTGTCCATCCTCTCTTCAAAAGTGGGGATAAAAGTCAAATAAATAATTACCGCCCTATCTCTATTCTACCCACCTTATCTAAAATCCTCGAGAGGCTACTCAATAGCAGACTGGTCAATTTTCTTGAAAGGAATCTACTGCTGTCTGCCTCAAAATACGGTTTCCGGTCTGGAATCTCCACTAATAATGCTGTATTAGATCTTACTAATACAATTGTTTCTAAACTTGATGACAAGCAAAAGGTGATTGCAGTCTTCCTCAACCTCGCCAGGGCTTTCGACACTATCTCGATTCCTTTACTCATCAAAAAACTTGAAAGGCTTGGTATTCGAGGTCTTCAGCTGGATCTTTTTGCTAGTTATCACAGGTAGACGGTAGTATGTGAGGATTGGGGATTGGACCAGCGCTGAACTACCGATCACGTTCGGCGTGCCCCAGGCAAGTATAATTGGCCCCACTCTATTCTTAGCCTGTATCAACGACCTCTGTAATAAGCAGCTAAACAACGGTTTCATCTTCACGTATGCTGACGACACCGCCTTAATCTTCTATGGTGATTCCTGGGAGTTTGTGTTTGACTTTGCGCAAGTGGGTTTCAATTCTGTTTCCTAATGGTTTTCTCACAACCTCCTCACCCTCAACGTGGGAAAAACTATGTATCTCACGTTTTCAATTACAAGTCGTGGTCTACCATACTCCTCTGCATTCTCTATAACTGCACACTCGTGTCCATCCTTTTCACATGATTCCTGCTGCTGTCCGTCTTTAGTCCGTACACTGTGTGAAGTATCTGGGTGTCCAGCTGGATAGCACACTTTCCTTTCGCTATCATATTGACGGTCTGACCCAGAGGTTACGTAAATTGATTTTGCCACCACGTTGCAGCTGTGAAAGTTTTAAGACTTGTGTGTTTAGCACTCTGCCAATCCCTCACATCCTATTGCATCTCTGCATGGGGTCGCATCTTCTTAAACTGGAACGCACTCAATGCGCGATACTCAAGGTGGGATGGCGTCTCCCCTACAGATACCCGACCTTTATAAAACCTGTAAGGTCCTGACAGTACGACAGCTTTTTGTTCTTCAAATAGCTTTGACCACGCACACTCTTATCCCCCCTACGACCCGAATAAACTGTACACCGTACGTTTTAAACATACTGTTTGTCGCTCAGTTAGTGTTTCCACTAGTTTAGCTCAACGTCATTGTTATTTTCTGGGAGGATATTCATATAATAAATTAAACAAAATCCTTAATATTCGCCCATTGTGCAGAGCGGAATGTAAAAAAGTTATTACTGATTGGCTGACCACTCTCGACTACGCGTCGAATGAAAACATACTTATTTTACTGAAATACGTAGCGTAGTATTCACACACACACACACACACACACACGCATGCACGCACACACACGCACACGCATGCACGCACACGCACGCACGCACACACACACACACACACACACACACACACACACACAGACAGACACACACATTTGTATTTTTATTTTAAGTTTATGCCAAGTTTTCTTTTACACTAAGAGGGAGTGAGCCTGGTGATCTGTAACACAGGTTTCCAACCTAGTACTGACTCCAGCTCTTACTAAGGCGCTTGTTATTTGTTATTTTATTTTTAGTAATTAATAATTGTATTTTTAATGTATTCATATACTGTAACTATACCTTATTGAGAGAAATAAAGCATATTGTATTGTATTGTACTATTCTACGATTCAAATTTCCAGTATTCATTATAACTGAGTTTAAACCGTTTTCGACTCAAAATCTGTAATTTCGCCGTTGATTATCTAAATATCCTCTAAGCCCTTCTACAGCATATATAGTAGGTACATTGTGTTACAAAAGCGGTTAAGTGGGCAATTACGAACAGAAGGATATTCAAGCAAATAGTTTAATGGTCCGAATATTTGCAATTGCTATTCCGTCTGTGTGGCATACTATGTTTTACATCACTCTTGCGAGGGAAACACAAAGTTATAGACTTAAAAATGTCATTCATATTATATTAACAAAATTTTTAATTACCTATCTCGAATAAATCTGATCACGTTATCATCTTGGCGGCGGAAATAGGTGAAGTGGCAGTACTTCCCTGGCCGAACTGTTTCTCAAGGAGCTATACTGCTACTAAAGCTTATAATTACAAAAGTGTGTGTTAGATAATGCTAAAAATATTACAAAAATGGATTGGGGGACCTCCAGTAATATTAGAAACAGTAAAAAAATTCAATCATTTGCTGCACATAGATACTGATTCACGGAATTCCGTAAACCATGGAGAAAACCGGGCCGACAATATTTTGATAAAATTTACAACACGTCTGATGGAGGTTAATAGTTTGCTGAAATTTACCAACAGCACAATACATATTTTCATTAATTTATTAAATTATTATAACATGTAATAACAGGCTTGCTGACTTATGAATTTGTTTGAGTACAATTTCGCCAACACGGCCGTGGGGTGGTGGTCCAGAGATCCGCAACTGGGACGTTTTATCAATTAATATAGTTTTTACCACTATTATACATATTTGGAACAAATAAATAATGTTCGTGTTATGTATTTATTTTTTTCATAATATATTTAGGTACTCAAGTAGATAAATTATTTTCATTTGTTTATTAGTTTCTTTTTTTGATTTTGTTTACTTAGTTACAAAACAAAGACGAAACTTGTCGGGTGCAATGCGAAAGCCTCGCGGTGGCAGAGTCGCGCATCGCCACGTTGACCTTCCGTGCTGACCAGATGAGGTCAGAGCTCGAACAGAAGACTAAAGAGGTACGCGAGATACTGGGATACATACTGCAAAGCCACTTAAAACCCAAATGGGTAATTTTCATTGAATTGTCTACATTTTGTTTCACAGCAATTAGTGTATGCTTTGTTAAATGGTACAGATACGCAATCTTCGTGACGCGTTGAACACTTGTCGCACAGACATCGCCAAGAACGACTTTTCGATGCAGGCGCAGGTAATTCAATATATAATGCATAGATGTTCCATAGGCACATACCTTACTAACTTAACTGTGTACATTTCTAAGGTTTTATAAACCAATGATAAATATTTTTTATATTATTTTTAAACACAATCCAACAACGCTTAAAAATATTCAATATTGTTTTTGTTGGTGTCGAGTAAGAACGAAGTGTTGAGAAAAGAGACACGCTTAGAAGAGACTAAAAATACAAGCAAGCAAGTTTAAACAAAATTTTGAATTAACTGGAGTCATTTTAGGAAGTGGAAAAGCAGAAAAGTATTGTGAAGACTCTGCAGAACAACTTGTCCGTCATCGAGGAACTTTACCGAGAGTGTTTTTACGAAGTAAGTTGACATTAAGATAGTCACTGTTAATTTGCTAGAATATTACAGTTCAACCGAATGGATTGAAAATTGATCATTTAATCCTAAAAATATTATAATGGAAGGGCTTGGATGGTTTTCATGTAAGATAACTTTATTATTTTAAATTATTTTATTAGGTAAATTATTTTTTGATGAATTTTAATTTGTTTGTGTAGAGTTTGAAACAATATGATTTCAAATTTATCAAACGTTTTATGCACTACAAGATGAGTAACATACGAGAATTATGTCACAGGTGTATCTATTGGTACAATTATAAGTATTTACTTGTTTTCAGACAGCTAAACAAGAAGCGATAATAGAGACTCTACGGAAGTCATGCCTCGACATAAGATTGATGGATAAGGAGAAGGCGGACCGGATAGGGAAGTTGCAGAACGTTATTAACAACCAGAAGTGGTCTTTGGAACGGTGTCAGGTAAATTAGGTAGCTATGTTGCGTGTAAATGATTGATGAGAGGTTTCTGCAGTTGAAGCAAACCTAAATCTAAAAAACCCGGATCCACTTCGGATGTCGCTTGTGCACTAAGTCTGATTCCAATCCGATAAAATATGAATATCGCTTGTACACCTACAGATAAAACGACGCTTCGGACACCTGTGACATTTCGGACCGTCATTTTTCGGATCCGGAAACGATACGAATAAGAATATTTTTTAAATCTCCTTCTAACACTTATCTTTTCTTAAACTGTAATATAGTTTGATTGTAGTTTTTGTTATCATGTTAATTATTTTTCAGAATATTGCAGCTGATGTAGAAACGTTGAAATTGGAGATATCAAACTTCCTGAGCAACTCTAACAATGATTCAGTAAGACATCTTTTATAGTGCGCTGCATTTCTTGTGATCATAAATTGTGAAGAGACTATCCGTGAAATATTGCTTTTTATACGCTGTGTTATTATATTCGCTTCAACAATAAATAAAATACGTAAAAATCTTGGCCCTTGTTTGACTTTGATGATCAGGGCATGTGGGAACGCGAGGACTCGCTGGTGACGGAGGTAGGCGAAGATCTCCACGACATCATGGAGCAACTGCAGGTGCTCAGAGATATGCTCGCTGTATGTATTGTGTTTTCACGTGTTGTTATCGTATTTTTCAGTTTGCTTGCTTGCTTGTCTGGTGTTCGTGTTTTTTCGTTTTTTCATTTCAAAAGTTGAAAAGGTTAAGATTTTGTGTTGTATTTACTTTCTTTTCCTATTTTGTGTGTATTTCTTATGAACATTCTTTCCACATTTTATTTCTTTGTCATCTGAATATTTAATATGCTTTTGTGTTTTCCCGTGGTTCATGGAATTAGTTGTCCCAAACCCGTTGTACATTATTAATTTTACTTTTGCCTGTATCATACCCATTGCACGAATGCCGATTTGTCCACAGGATGATTGTTCGTGTGCTCTGAAGCAGGAAAACGAGAGGCTCAGACAGATTGTTGGCAATATGGAGGTGGGTGTTGTCCACTTATGACTTAGCTATTTTATTAAGATTGACCTTGCTGAAAATTTTCAATTTTTTATAGAAAATAGACACATGTCATTGTCGTACCTGATGTACAGTGAGTATGGTACGGGTTTGTCTAAAAAATAACCATGTATCAAAAAAGTGCCTCACTGCATTATTTGTTATATACTTACACTTTATAAAAAATATGTCATTTCGGTCGACACTGACACGTAAGGTCGTGATATAAATTTACCATCTTTGTGTTCGAAAAAGACTGCTAGATTCGGCGCTACTAGTAAATTTCATTAAAATACAGGCACAGGCATTCATGCTGAAAATAAGTCAAAACTGGCTTCTGGTAGACTGAAAGCTAGATGTCTAAGCAGTACGCAGAGATAAAAACACTTTTGTGCAGTACAATTGCCATTTGATGCTATGATTCCTACAGAACTTGAACCCTAAGCACATCTTTTTATAAATGTAATATTAATACGATATTTTAATTATTTGTCAAAGTATCAAGAACAAAATGAAATAATTCACAGAATCAGCTCGGAGATTATCATCAGCGGATGTGTGCGGTGGAATGCGCGCTCAAGAATAAGGACGATATCATCAAGAAGTACAAAAAACTCCTTGACGAAAAGGGAGAAGAGGTTGGCTCGTTGACTTGTCTAGTTTGCACGGAGCAGTAATTCGATGGCCCGTCGAATACGATTCTCTGTATGTGGGTCATTAGATATTCTAAATTAACTATAGTTCTTGTTTACCTATTCTATTGAAGTCTACCACGAAATACGACACTACGTGACTGCGTCTGCAACGCAGCTCTTGCGTACTAGATAACGTCAGTTTTACGATGAAAGTAATATGGAAATTCGATATGATAGCTGATTTCACGTTTCGGAGTATGAGCTAATATCAAATCACGATCACTGTACGCGTTTCGTTTCGATACGAAGGTAAAACGTGGATCTTTGCTCGTTATTTCGCATTTCGTGGTAGAGCCACTGATTATTGGTTCGGTTGTTTTTTACATTATCATTGTTCTATTATTATACATATACTTCATTACAAATTTAGTTCTTTGCAACTTATTGTTGTACCTTAGAAATAACTGCAGACCGCTTCTTTGCTTCGCCGCCAACTTGTATTTTTCGTCGTAGTGAATATGTAAGTGGGAAATAACTGCTTCGATTTTTTGGAACTGAAGAGATTATTTCAATCCAACACAATTTTCAGCTGGAAAATGCTCAACAACAAATCGCAGGGCTAACAGATAAGGAGAGGGATCAGAACTCCAACCGCGAATCTATCATGGAGCAATTACAAAAGACTCAAGGTAATTTTGTCCCATATAAAACTATGTTTTGGTGTAGGTGCCTACATACTCATGGGGTGGATCTTTGAGACCCGAACAAATAATTGATCCATCAACATTTAAGATGAAATATTTAATTTGCCTTTTACAGAAATTCGAGTGAAAGGAAATCGAGTTTGTAAGATCCCATTTTTTACATACGTTCGAACTGTTGGACGTTTATATTTTATGTTTTTGTAGTTTCTTAGTTAGGTACTTGTTACTGTCAGACATTTTCGCGAACTCAACGTGTCCTTAAGATAACGAAGATGATTTGATCTCCCATATTTAAAAGGTACGTCGCATTAATTTGCCAAAGTAAACAAATTGCAATTAATTAAATATTGCTTTTTTTGACATCCACCTGGCGACTTTGCAGGGGTGTTGCAAGAACGGACAGCGGAGCTCGCGTACGCGGAGCGCAAGTGCGCCGAGCACGAAAGCACCATTAACGAACTGCGCGAACAGCTAGAGAAAGCCGACCGCATTATTAAAGAGGTAAGGAACATGGCGATCACTCGAGAACAGAAAAAGTGCATTAATTTGTTCGTTTTGAATAAATCTGCCGCCGTTAGTCGAAAGGGCGCAAGTGACAAAAACTCAAAACCGAGAAAACTAATGTATAAAGAAATCAAATCAAATATGTCTACTTTTCTCTTGCGATATCTTCATACTTTATCCAGCTACGAAAAAATAAAAATAATGACAGATCGGCCTTTTTTTACTGATTACGGTAGTACACGTATAACATTTTTTTTGAAGAAATGTCACATGCGCCCTTTCAACTAACGGCGGCAGGAGTTGTAAGGGTAGCTTCCCTTACTCTAAGTTGTAGTTTGCTGGAGAGTCAATCAGTTTATCACTGGAACGGGATGTTAGTAATGAAACGTGTCCGCACTCAATGATTCCGTTTATTGAACTCTAAATAAAGTAAACACGTAATAGCTTTTTATGTTAAAATCTACGTCAGCGTATATAGTTTTGCAATTATTATAATATTTTCCTAAGTATGTCGAGGTAGCTCGTACAGGAGTCGTGTCCCGACTTGACGGGTAAGCAAAGGGTCGCAGCGGGAGTCGACTTATTTGATTCCGTCGCGAACGAACAGAACGTGAAGGTGCGCAGCGAGGTGGCGCACCTGACCCAGCAGGTGGCGCTGTGGCGGCGGCAGCTCGTGGACAGCGAGGCGCGCGTGCGCAGCGTCGAGGCCGAGCTGCAGCGGACGCGCGCGCGCGCCGCCGAGGCGGAGGCGTGCTACCGGTGAGTGCGGCGGCGGGCGGCCGGCGCCGTGCTGCGGCCGAGCTGACCGAAGCTGGCCTGCGCAGGGACAAGGCGCAGAGCGCGGCCGCGCTGCAGGAGCAGCTGGAGGACGCGCACGGCCGCGGCGCGCAGCTGTGCGCGGAGGCGCGCCGCGTCGTGCAGGGCGTGCGCCACTGGGTGCGCAACATGAAGCAGCAGCAGCGGTACTCGCACGTGCTTTGCGGCTCTGTCTCCTTCCGCGTAAGGCAACCGACTATCCGAATTTCCTTCCTAACGTTCCAGGGAGCAAGAAGCGAAGATAAACGAGCAGACGGCGACGATAGCCGTCCTGGAGGAGACCTTAGGGATGCCGAGGAGGGCTTCGCCCGTCGCCTCTCCGGAGACCCCCTTCGTCGGCGCGCCGGTCAGGTCGTCGACTCGGACCGGGCAGACGCTCGCCGGCCGGTTCCGGTCGAGCGAACGACCCGAGTGCGACTTCTGCGATTCGTGTAAAGACACATCGGCCGACACCGAATTACCTACGACTTCCCGCACGGACAAAAGTTAGTCAATTACAAGTATTTTTCTAACAACCCAGTAGCTACGTACGTGCGCATCTTAGTAGTTCGGTATGGAAAATGTCCCGTTGCAGCAAGCAATCAGGTCTGTCGATGCAGGCAGCGCGACTGCGAGCGGCCCGGCTGCTCGCCGCCGCCCGAGCCCCCGCGGCGCCAGCTCAAGGTGAAGATGTGCGAAAATATGGTGAGATACCGACACGAAATACTCATTACTCGTCACACCTACCTACGGAACCTAAACCAAATATGACTCCAAGCCCGAGCCGATGGTGAAGGTTTTAAGGGCCCCGACGTTTGCAGTTGTTGTACCGCCCATGGGCACACTAACTATGTTTTTCTTCACACTTGCGTAGAAAGTAAAAAGGATTAGAGCTAGGCTTTTGTCGGTGGAGTAATCGCCGTTCTGATACGACACGATTATCTTTTTCCCTTACCTGATCTAAACATCTAACTCCGTGTCTCTTTCCTTTGATCTTCCTTTCTACGTTGTTTCTAAGGACACACGTATGCCGTTGTGTCCGAGTATGCAAGTTAGTTTTTTTAAATAAATTCAAAAGCCTACTTTTTGAGGTCGCGGTACTAACTTACGCGATGGGCGAGCCGACCACGCTCTTATGCTCAGGCCCCACAGACGCCTGTGTGGCCAGAGCATTGTCGTGCGGCGGGAGCGTAGAAGGGCCGTATGATGAAAGTTCCCTTTCCGAATGTCCCGTGCGCGGCCAGCGCTGCGCAGTGCGCCTGCGCGCGGCCTCGGCCGGCGCCGGCCCCTGGCGCCGCGACGGCTGCGACGCCCGCTGCGCCTGCCGCCGGCCGGCCCGCGCCCGAGCCGACGTAAGTCCACCAGCCGTGTCGACCCGTGCGGCGGCGTTCTCTTCTCAACCGTGCTCGGAAATGTTTGCATTATTATTTCCTTCGCAAAAATGAGTTTAGTGAGAGGAACGACGATACAGTAACAGACTGTCCTCCGTCTAATTTGAAACGAGCAAAAACAATTTGTCACAGAAACTTGTTTCCGACTAAGAACAAACAAAAATACGTGAAGTTTACGATTGCTTTTTCTGTTCCACGTTCTCCTTCATTCAACAATTTTTTATTATTTCCTCGCATTGTTTGAGAAAAGCACTATGTACCTCGGCGGGCACTGGGATTGCCCGACTCGTGTAATTCAAATAATTGTACATAATACTTGTCTGCAGGGGCCTTTGTCACCAACGGCGGAGCTATTTGAGCGCGTGGAACGCCTGCAGGACGCGTTGACTGATGGACAGAGACGGTGGCAATCCCGCGGTTGTAATACGGCACATCAATGATAAGATTAATGTTAGAGTTTTTGTGGCGGTGTACATTGACAAGAACCCTCATAGTACACAATTTATGGTTGTCCTTTTTTTTCGCGGGCTTATAAAGCGGAAGGACTTTCAAGTTAGAAAACTCCACAACCTCATTAAGAAGACTTTGTTAACTGCATTTAAAATAACAGTATTGTTTTACTAGTCCCATTGTAGTTTGCTAATCTAATTTATTAATTATTTTAAATGTATTCTTAATATAATTTTGTTCTGTTGTCTACAGACTTGTTTTATTTTAATACTACAAATAAATTAAAAAAAAATTTCTTTGATGTAAATAGGGGAATAGGTATCAATTATCATTTCAAAAACGGAAGTATCATTTTCTGGAAAATTGCTTTTATTTAAATTAAAAATTGAAAATTCGCAAAATAACAACAAAAATGAATTGCATTGTCTGAACAATAGTATATTTAACTTCCTTATTTTGGCACTATTGGTTCTTTCAACAGTTTCGGAACCAATTAATTAATTTTAATGCCAACATAAGGCAGTATTTGATTTATACACTTATTATTTTCTTCATTGTTCAATCCATGAAATACACAAGGTGACCCAACAATGCGCCGAAAAAGAATCTTCTGGATAAATTTATTATTTTTAAGTGTACATTACAATGATTAGAGAAGATGACCTCCTCCACGTTTGCTTGTCTCTTTAATACCATTTACCTCACATATACTCTGACAAAGGTTTGGTGCAATTTTGAATGAACGTCTGCAATTATATTGAAATTTTGGACGAAGTTCGGCAATTGTTTTTTAATCGCAATTTATTCGGTAGTTATTTTCTATTACACATAAATAAGATACTAAATTTATTTGACAACGTATTATTGGGTCACCCTGAACTAAACAATACATATTAACTATCTATTAAAAGGTTTACACAACCCGCTTAATACTTAGGTACTTGGATTCATTTTCTCATGCAGTGCACAAAAAATGTTATAAAATTTTAGACTCGTACAGGTTCACATCCAAAGTGGTTAATTTTATCCGTACGTTGACCAAAAATCTGCATTAGGCAGTAATATGAAGGTGCATTTAAGAACCTCTGGAAGCAGTTGAAAAGTTCACCTTGAATTTATCGTGCTGAGTTGGATTTAGGCATTTATGCTACATTTTAAGCACTCTACACGTTCACATAAAATTGACCACATATTTGTTGTTTTTGCAGATCAACCAGGTCAGGTTACAGATGGCCTTTAGCATCAAACTTTGTTGATGTTGACTTGGCAGTCGGCAATGTTTAGGAATGGTGCACTTCAAAATTCTTGAGTTATTTAATGATAATTTAGTTCTTGAATTATCACCAATAACTTGATTAGAACATGCAATGTCATTAAGCGATATTTATCACATAAATAAATCGTTCCTGCTCTGACCATTTACCAGAGACAATTCAGAACAGTTTGTACAGAGCTGTGAACACATTGATTTCCATTACATTCCGTGTCAACGCATCTATTGGCGACGACAACATTACCCCAGCGGCAACTATCCATACTCAGGAACAGTGACTTTTACATTTTTTTTGTTTTAATGTGAATTTTTTGTTTAGTTGTTATGATATTAAGGGACGGGACGAGCATCGCTTACCATCGTAAGCGACGCGCCTGTCCGTAACAGTTGCAGTGCCACACAGAGTTTCAATATCTCAAAGATCTGAGGGGCACTGTCACTGCGCCCGTCACCCTGAGACATAAGTTGAAAAGTCCCACGTGACTGTAATTTCACCAGCACTTTTCCCTTGAACAGGAGCGCAGTAATGCTCTCATTACTGCTTTTCGGACGACCTCTTCAATGTTATGACGTTAGAAGTAAAACAGGTACGTCAGGATACAGGAAGACTGAAGCGTAAGTCTCCGTGTGTACCGTAATGGTATGCACGACGTCACATTGTTATCTTGCAGGTACCGTAAAGGAATATTCTCGTCGCCAATAGAGTCGTCACTGCCATTGCAGAGCATACGCCAAGCGCTGCGACTTTTCGTGCCACGAGTTCCGTGAGCGGATTGATGTGTCCCTGTTGTAACCGTGTCCCAAATAAAGTTCCGTGGATGGAGCCTCCGTGCCGAAGCCTGCCGGGGTGTCCGCCGAGGTCGCGAAGCGCGGGCGCCGCGGCTACTTGGTCCAGCCGCGCCACATGGACACGAGGCTGGCGGCCGCCGACGTCACCAGCGACGGCGCGGGCGCGGGCGGCGTGCCGCCCAGCTCCTCCATCTGGGCCAGGCCACTGTAGCGGCGGAGGCCCCCCGCCCCCGCCGCCCCCCGCCCCGCCATACGTACCTCGTGCGCCTCGGGCCAGTGCAGGTGCTCGGGCGGCTCGGAGTCGTCGGCGTCGGGCTCGGCGCCCGCCCAGCCGTCGTCGCACGCCGCCCACTCCTCCGCCAGGGAGCTGCTCATCCAGGCCTCCACCCTGCGATTACGCGTGCAGGGATTTGCGGAATACTAGCGACCTCGCGGGACTACGTCGCCGACGCCTTAGACGACAACTTTTGTTCCGTGAATTTGTAATACTCATCAGATTAAAATATATTTAAATAGATCGCTCTAAACGGTAATAACCCCGCGCAGAAGGGAAGAGGGAGTCGTCGCGGAGGACGCTTGCACCTTTGAACTTGCTGCCAAATTAAAAAGTTAAAACTAAAAGAGTTTATTTTTGATAAATATATTATGTTTTGTAAAAAGCCACGGAACAAAAGTTCTTGTTTATGATGTTAGTTAGTATAGCCCTGAGAGGTTGTCAGTATTTTAAAAATAACCCTGTATAACAGGCGTCGGGCGGGACCCCCGCTGCACCCGTTTTACTCGCGAGTAGGTACTTCTCGTGCAACAAACGTATAGCTTGGGATTTTTTACGCGACCCAAACTTGCGAACGGAACGACCGGAGCCACCGGTTACACATTCACGACGCTATCGAAATATTTTTTTAAATCGTAATGCGTTGCCGGTAGCGTCATTTACATGCGCTATGCCAGCGAACGCACCGGCTCTTCTAAATCGCTCTTCCTCGGTACGAATACGTGGGTGGCGGTTCCTGCCCGTGCGAGGTTGGTTGGGCAGGTAACCCACCCACCAGCAAAATATGTAGGCATTTCATTACGCTTCTTAACATTGTAGTTTGTGCCAAATAGCATAGCAATAGCGATCATTCACTGACTTTCATCCCGAACACACAATTCGCAAATATTTCCCCACAAAACGTCGTAATTTTGGCATCGCGTGATTAACATAATGAATGTCAATGACGTAACTTAAAATATTTATTAAATTGAGGTATATCACTCTGCGAATTTGAACGTTGTAAGCATCACAGTTTTATTATTTCAATTAAGATTTATTATATTATTGTAATGATAATATTATGTTTATTAAAATAAATGTTATATTACAATGGCACAATAATACTAATTTTAAATAAAACTGATATTTAAAGTTCGGTTCATAATAAGTGTAAGTAGTTTCTTTAGCTTTATAATTTCAAAAATATAAAAATATATCACTTTCTTTTTGACATGCATAAAAAATACGACAGGTATCTAAAAAAAAATTTAGTAATGTTTTTACTTGCTTTTGACGCTAGGTGTGCATAACCTCTCGGTTATTTTCGTTTACATAATATATTAAACTGTATTCCGTGTGGGAGTAATTCCGTCGGTTTCGGTAATATTAACATTTTAATTTTGGTATTTTGTTTTGTTTTGTCGATTTTTTATTCACTACATCTTTATTTGTTGTCAAACGAAGATCAAAACGTGGGATAAGCCATCAGTGCCAGGACCATCTACTGGCAAATTCAGTA